GATTCCAGCAATTGCCTACAAATATATTTTTTTTAATTCATTAACTTATCAAGTTATGTCTTACGGCTAGCCATCCGAATCGTTCTCCAGTCTCAATGATAGTTCTTTGAGAGATGGTTCCGCCAATGCCAATGATGATTAGCCATCCCATGATTCCAGCTGTGCACAAGATAACCTCCTTTAATGATTTGAGATTAGTATAGTTGAATGAAGGAGTAGCTCACTGTTAAGGCTACGTTGGTAAGTGGAATCTCGCCCTCTCGTTTGGTGAGAGTGAAGTACATGATGGCGCTGACAATACAGTAGAGGAGTGTTAATCCAGAAACGATGTAAATGAGAACAATCTCATAGTTGATAGAGATGTAAGCTGTCACATATGTAGGATCGAGCAGAATAAGGACAGCGATTGTCAGCAACTATAAATACAAGAGATTAGAGTAACAAATGGAATTTGTGCAGATAGAGAGATGAGTGTGATGGAAACATAAGACAAACATCTTTTTCTATCTCTCAGCTTTTGTTTATTTACTTTTCCAAGGTTACATACATCGATCAATATCATAACATCACTCATATATATGAAATTCTGAAACTCACCACAATCAGAATCTTGATTAGTCCACAGAGTAGAAGCTGCTTAGGAAAAGCCATTGAGTTTCCTATAATCTGTCGTTATCAACTAGAATGGAGAGGAAAAGAGAGATGCGCAAAGAAGATACAACGAAGTATGATTATGAAAATAGTTAACGAAGGTTACATCTGAATCACAATTTGATGAAATGAGGTTTTAAGATGACTGCTTGGAAAATATTCAATTGAGTGAGTGAGTAATGATAAACATAAGATGAAGAATTGTTGAATGATTCATATTGTTCAATCGATCTTATCAGTCAACGAGAACAACGTTTATACATAAAAGGAAATATTTGAATGGCTGGCTCAAGACCACTTTCACACGTTAAATCGCTTTATCTCAATCCTTTCCATATAACATCATAATCAATACATTCACATCCTGTAGGTATCATACAATGGTATTAGCAATAGCCGAATAAGAGCGAATAAGGATTGGATGTGAGGAAAGAAAATGTACAAAAAGCATTTTTCCTTGTTGAACATGTCGTTTGACAGTTTGAAAGCAGGTGACTAACCTCAACCTGGGACGATCAATAAAAGGAAATTTCTGATTACCCAACGCTTATATAATCAAAAGAGAAATACATAGTTTTTCAACTCAACACAACACATCTTATTCTCTGGATTATAATTGACTAAGCACATGGGTATGAGTAGGAGAGTAGTAAGCTGATGACAGATCTAGTACAGGTGAGAATCTCATATGAAGCAACAACAGCAGCAACATCAACTGATTTGTACAGCTGAGATTCTTTAGAGCGATGGAAGAAATGAAAAATGCAACCATTTTGCTGGTCAAAGGGCAGAGAAATAAAGCAATAACTAAAATGAATACGTAAGGTATGCAAGAGGGAAAGCAGAACCATACTCCCAGAGGGCAAAAGATGATATATAATGAGAAAAATATTATGAATAGATGAGAGAAATAGAGAAAAACAAATTGCACAGGAACCTTTGTATGTATGCTGAATTTGTGTGTATTGTACGGACTATGCATCTGACTTATTCTACGCTGGCCGATGAGCAAACAGTCTTCTTATCGAATTTTGTCTGTTCTCTTCTTAATACATTATCTCTAGCATGTTACGGCTGAGAGGAGTTTTCCCGCAGCCTGAAAGCGCCCCCCACCCTCTCTACCTCTTCTTCAAGTCAGCCGATGCTTACATAACATTCAATATCTGTTCCCTTTATTTTTCCCTCTGTTATATATAGGGAATGAGAGTCAAATGTCTGCACCTAAAATGCGGAGGGAACTAGATATGCAAAGACATACATCAAGAGTGAGAGTAACACAGAGAGTAGGTGAGGGTAAAGGTGAGGAGGAGGAAGAAGGATACGATGAACATGAGTAAATGAAAGTAAATGTTTAATCGTCATAAGGAACAACCCCATCTTAGTTTCCATATGATTCACATATGTGTGGGAATGAAATACAATAGAACAGCTTTCAGTAAAGCTCCGCACTTTGATGTCTTAATCATCATCACACTACACTGTCAAGAATCAATATAAGATATCCAAGAAAGGACCCGCACAGAAGTATGTAAATCTAAGTTAAGGAATTGAGCTACTGTAAGATGGAATTATTAATTTTTGGGAAAGGATAGAAAAAAATTTCTTCTGATTTGTTTGATTCTATACGGATTACGTGTGACCAGACACAACTTACATATATGGACATCTATACTATGCGTCTACAACCACCCATAATCTATTCGTATAAATTGAGAAAATATTTATTTGATTAAGGCATTTTAATAATTAAGTAAGTAATTTAAGACAAACAATTAACAACTTGGAATAATGAAGCAAACAAGGCAATCAACATGTTATGTCTTTGACAATCACAGCATCTCACGCAAACGGTAATCACGGAAGAAAAAAAAATTTTTTTATCGAACAAACTAGAGTTGACCAGTGCAAAGTGTCTCTGCGTCTTGTCTTTTAACATTCATTATTGATTCTTGTACTTTTAATCATTACATAGACGTATGTATGGGGCATAAAAGGAAGCCGATGAATGAGGAATGCAAATCCATTGACACAAATGACACTTCAACATGTATATAGTAATATGAATTAAGAAAAACTAAAATATAGATAAAGTCAACAAATGCGCAACCGAACCACGTCCAAACATTGATCACAAATGAAACATTACGCGACTACTACCGACAGCGTGCACACGTGGAGAAGCTGCTCGTGAAATTGCACACATAATATGCAAATGATGTCTATAGATATAATCGGTTAAACAAATATCGAGGAAGCTATCATGATGAAAGCCCTCCATATGACTCAATTTTGGGTGATGAAAATATTAAAAATTACATTTCAATTGCTCAGCTTTTTTTTTTATTTAAAGCACGTAAAGCAATGTTTGGATAAAACGAGCCGAGGTGAAATGCTGAAAAAAAACTGCTCGGCAACGATGATCAATGAAACGAACCGTCAATGACTATCCGTTAGCATGCGGCAGGATCTCTGGTTTAAGTTTATTTCAATCTTTAACTCTCTTTCTCTCTCTCTCTCTCTTTCATTTTCTCTTTTCCTTTAATATAATCGCATATGTGTTTGCCGTTCTGTAAGAAGTTATGGAACATAATAAAAAGATGAAAATGATTTTTGATCAAAAAAAGCATACGTCATTTGGCATAGAGGTTGCCCATGGTTTTTCCCAATGCACTGCTGCTCCGTGTGCTTGTTCTATATTATAAATGATTATTCATAACAATCAGTGATGTCAGCTCATACATAAAGTTTTTATCTTATTTTTGGATGTCGTCATTCTCATCAGGATGCTGATAGTTTCATTATTCTTTGTAGTTTGCCAAAGGACTTTGTAATGTTACATGAAGGCATCGTTAGGAATGGTTTTTAGCTTTTTGCCTCAGAACTCTCAACACTAGAACACATCTGCGATCATATAATCCGGGTGCGGATGAAATGAAAACAAACTTCTTTTTTTTTTGCTTAACAACCCCAAGTTGATCTTCTGTTCCTATCAGAGAGATAGAAAGAGAGAGAGGAAGATAGAGAGAGGAAGCATAAAAGCGTTTTTTAATATAAAAAAAGAGTTTTATCACTTGGCTCAATCGCAAATACCCTCAGAATTCATTTTTGTTGACTTATCATTTCCACTTCGAATGGCATTTAGACTTTTATTCTCGCAATGACTAATCGTTCTTCCAACATTTTTTATTCTCTTTGGAGTTTTTATCTTATCAGCATCTTCTTGTCATTTCACTAATTTAGTCTTTGCGGCCTAGATCAAGAATTGTTCATATATAAATATGCGTTTCAGCTCATTCGTCTCTGATTCAAAAAGATTAATATTCATCATCGGAGCATCAACACTTCATAAAATCATCGAACTTTCAACAAGTTTATGCCATATATAAGATTATATTACATTCCTTCAACATCACCATCATGATGTATGCAATGCCATTCGATACCCATTGTGCCATACTATTTCCACAAGCTTTTCCTTCTTTACCTCTTTTTTTTCATCACGTTCACATTTTCTCTCAATTTTCCTTCTATTCCACTCTTCACTATATAGATTATAAGAGAAATTTTTTTTATTTTGGCATTTAGATAGCTCAGCCCATTATGGGCACTGTCAGCCAGCTGAGGCTTCTTTTATGGAAAAATTTTGTTCTTCAATTGCGTTCGCCATGGTTTACAGCTTTCGAGTTCCTCGTTCCGTTAGTACTTGTCGGAGCTAGTTTCGGACTTATGATAGGAGTAATATTTCTGAATTCAAAGCATATAATCTAATGAGACATATTTAGTTACGAGGAGATTTCGAAAAGTCTTATAACGTTCAGAATTATACTACATGGCCCGTTATGGGAAGTGGTTATGATTTCATAATTGCCCCAGATCCTAATAACTACGGCGTAAGTGTCTTCACCTTCTGAATGTACTTCATATATCTCTTTTAAAGAGTTGTATCGCCGATCCTAGTGCCTTAGTTAGAGATCCCGACAATTGCGTCTTCTTAAATATGACTAGGATGGGTAACAACTTATTTGTAATAGGGATGGAAGTAGCTTATGCACCGATGACAGCTTCAACAAAAGCTATTATGGAGACAGTAAATGTAATTTCGAAAGATCCATGAGTCAATTGAGGAACAACTATGATTTACAGAATCGTTATAATACCCCGAACCTTATAACTGATGATATCAGAAAGCTTCTCTACAAGATGAACGTGTCATTCTTGTCATGGGAGAATATTGCGATCAATTGTACCGTCAGAGGTGAGCTCGAACAAACAGAAAATCCACTTGAAACATGCGAAATGCAGGATTTAAATCTGAACCGGACATGGTTGACTATCTCAAACAATCCTTCTCTAATCAGTGCGGAAACCCCATATTAGGTTTATTCTGGTGCAAACATATTAACAACAAAGATTTGTTTAAGGTGGTGTCGTGTTTTCCGATAAGTTTGGAGACACAATATCGTCTTCTACCAAGAATTTGACATATACCATCAGGCTTTCAAATACAAACAGACGACTGACAGTAAGTCAACCTGAACATGATTGCTCATTAGCATGTTTTTGAAATGCGCGCCAAAAACGTGAATCACTGTTCGAAAGATTTTGACACGCAGCTTTACTTTTGCAAATCAGCATCTACGTACTTCGAGCAGCACCGTTTTCTGCCCATTTGTAACAGTTTCGTAGCCTTTTTTGTTTGGTTTTATGTCGTTTTATTACCAGCCTCATCTTATCAATTTTTAATACCTGTTTAATCATACATCATGTTTCTTTAGAGTTTTGGTGACACGTACTCACCATGGAATACTAAAAAAATTTTCGCTGTTAACTATGTGACTGGACCTATAAATCCGAATGATCCCGACGGAGGGTATCCAGGTTTATATTTCAAAAGAGTAACAATCAAATGGTGTCATCGGATTAGGTTATTGGAGAGAAGGTTTCATCACGCTACAACGGGCTATTGACATAGGAATTAATGATCTCTTAACTCAAACTGTTACGAATACTCTTGTTGGAGATGTTTTGGTATCCATATTGTTAAGAACTATTGAAAACTCCGAATATTCAGCTTGGACGGTTTCCTTTCCCGGCATACCAAAATAAGATTATTGAAATCGGAGCTTTCTTCATACCAGTCATCATCATCTTCTCAAATATGTCTAGTGTGATTTACATTGTTCGAAACATCGTCATGGAGAAAGAAGACAAACTGAAGGTTATTTAGAAGCATGAGATTCGAATGCTCAAATCTTTCTTTTAGGAATACATGCGGGTTATGGGTCTCTCTCAGTGGATTCATTGGGTGGCTCACTTCATCAGTAATTACATTAAACTGATTTTCTCAACTGTCATAATAACAATTCTCATGGCTGTCATAACGCCGAAGTTTGTAACAAGTTCCTTTCTCTATCTCTAATCATACTATTCAGCTCGGACTTTTCAATCACTCTAGTTCTCTTCCTGTTATACTCGTATAATGTGCTATATTTCGCATTCGCTGTTTCTACATTCCTATCTAATGGTGAGAGTATCACTTCCTTTGTCTCGAAACCAAATTATCTCAGGTACGGCTGGTACCCTGTTCGCTACAATAGGATGGATGCTGTTGTATTTCTGGTATACATTCTTCATCAGTATAGATACCACAACACCATATTCATACGGAGTACGTATGATCAATTGTTTGAACCCAGATATCGCTGTAGGGTTCGGTTTGACTATTCTAGCTCAATATGAAACTCAAGGTAATAAAAAAGAGGTATCTGTGAAATACTTCATCTTCAGCTGGTGGTTTACATTGGGGTCAATTGTTCACACCTGCCTCTCCGGATGAGACTTTGACAATGGGACACGTAATGGTCATGTTGGTGATAGACGGAATATTACTTATGATCATCACATGGTATGTGGAAGCTGTTAACCCTGGTGGAGAAGGAGTTCCCCAAAAACCATATTTCTTCGTTTTGGTTAGTAGACCAACAATTGAAAGAAAAAGGAATATAATTTAGCCATCTTACTGGTTCCCTTCGAGCGGGAAGAATACGGTCACTCCTGAGAAACAGTATCAAGAAAACCGAGGAAACAAGGATGCACGCGTTGAAAATTTCACTACTGATGATGAGGTTACAAACATTCTCAAGTACTCAACATATTCCTGGGCTTATTTAGGTCACTGTGAACATCGTCAATCTGTGTAAAGTGTACGGTTCTTCTAAAATTAAGCAGCTGTTCGACTGCAAATTCGGCAACGAATCTGTTAAGAAGGCAGTAGATAACTTGAATTTCAAGCTGTATCAAGGAGAAATCACTGCATTGCTCGGACACAATGGAGCTGGTAAAAGTACTACCTTCAGTATGCTTTCCGGTAAGTCTTTCAACTCCTTATCACTTATTTGCTAATTTGTCCAGGAGTCATCCCTCCAAGTAGTGGAACTGCTTATATCAACAATCTTGATATAAGAGACAGTCTTCCTGCTGTTAGAAAGTCTATGGGATTGTGCCCACAGTATAACACCTTGTTTGGATCTTTGACTGTAATAGAACATTTGGAATTTTTCTGTAAGCTGAAGGTTATCACAAATTGAATTGACACTTTGTAACATTCTGAACTTACAGAACCGACCTTGGAAAGAGGAAGAAGCTATGAGCATGCTTTCTCGTTTGAGAATTGACTTCAAAGCACATGCAAGGGCTGGATCCTTGTCTGGAGGTCAGAAGAGAAAGTTATCATTAGCAATTGCTCTCATTGGAAACTCTGAGGTTTTTAACTGTCTCTCACTTTGTTGGAACATTCACCCTCTTAAGATCGTTATGCTTGATGAACCAACATCTGGTATGGACCCTGGAGCTCGTCACGAAACTTGGACTCTTTTACAAGAAGAAAAGCACAATCGCACTATTCTCTTCACCACTCACTTCATGGAAGAAGCTGATCTGCTTGGTGATCGTATCGCAATTATGGCTCATGGAGAATTACAGTGTTACGGAACAGGAATGTATTTGAAGAAAGAATTCGGTAATCATTCATTTATTGTTCAAAATACTGAATACTCTCTCAGGTGATGGTTATCATCTTACTGTTGTGTATGACAACAATCATCAAAGATCCCATGCTGGAATTGACCAGACGATGAATATCATTCAGTCGCACATACCTAATGCAAGACTCGCAACATTTGTCGGACAAGAAGCTACAGTTTTGCTACCAGCTTCTGCTAGGCACAAGTATCATAGTTGTGACAGTATTCCAATGAAATCATATTTTCTTATAGTTTCCAATTACTGTTCGCTGATCTAGAGCATAACCAAGATGCTTTGGGAATTTCTTCTTTCGGAGTGTCAATCACAACGATGGAAGAAGTCTTCTTGAAGTAATAATTTACCTTATTTGAGTTTTTTGATATTCAAACTTTGCAGAGTTGGTGACGCAGCTGAGGAAAAGTACAATAAGAATCATGAGAATGAACCTGTTGAAGTTACGGAACTTAAAGATAACGATCCATTATTGCAAAGTATTTTTATATTTACACTTTAGTTTATTCATTTTATACTTTTCTCAGAACTACGGGTTAGAAACAGATTGAGTGGATTTTCGTACCAATTCCAACATTTCAAAGCTATGTTCATCAAAAGGGCTATTTATTTCAGTCGAAAATGGGCAATCTTCTTACCAGAAGTTGTGTATCCAGTAAGCTCACTTTCATCTCTTGAAAACAGTTTCCTATGTACCCAGGTTGCTTATCTCTGTCTTATGGTTTATTCTTCTACAACAATCCCTGCTGCGAAGGAACAGCCTCCATTTGTCATGAATCTCGATCCAGTTGTTACAAAAGATCAAGGTGCCTATATCATGACTTCGCCAGCGCAATTTCTAGGAAGCTCTTTGGAACAGTACGTTGGATGTGCCATGCACTGATTTCACCACTTACTTTCAGAGATATAAACAAAACAGTGGCATTGATGAATGCCCCTTCGGCACTCCATGTTCAAACCGTGCCAGATGTCAGAAATTACATATTAGCACAAACCAAGATAGTCAGTTTGCCTTCCAGCCATCTTTTTTCAAGTTGAACTATATTAGGCTGGACAGGCCCTTTTTGGAGCTCATTATCCTTTAGCCTTTGATATCATGAGTCTCATTCCAACTGCCGATTCTCTGAAAGGTCTATTTCTCACTTTGAACATTTTGGAACGAAAATTTTTTCAGTATTTTTCAATAACTATTTTTATCCCTCACCTGTAATTGGTGTGATGATGGCAGATTCTTTGAAGTTGGCAAAAGCTATAAACCGCGATATAGGAATTACCGTTAGTTTAGATTACGTAGTACAAAATCCTTAGCTATCGCTGTTCAGGTTATCAATCATCCTCTACCTCCTTCAAGTCAAGATTCTTTGAAGAACAAAAATTTATCAAATGGATCCTCCTACTTAATAGCTTACGCTATGATTGTTGCTTTGGCCATGGTCTCAGCCGGTAACTCCTCGTTTTTGATTCGTGAAACAGCAAAGAAGAGCAAACACTTACAAGTAATTAGCTTCATGTTTTCCAACATCAGCAATGCTTTCAGCTATTATCTGGACTCAGAGCATGGATGTTTTGGTTAACTACTTTCTTGTGGGATTCTGCTTGGTATCTTGTCCGTATGGTTTTGTTCATGGCTGTTTTCTATATGTTCAATGTGAAGGTAATATTTTACTGCGTGCGCTCTCGCATACAATGCTTGTAGCAATACACTGATAGCTTTGGAACCATCCTCATTCTCTTCTTGTCACTCTCTCTATATGGTTGGACGTCAATTCCTCTTACATATTGGATGTCTTTCGCGTTCGACAGTGCACCGAAAGGCTTCACAACAATTGTGATGTACCATATTATCAGCGGAATGTCCGGAGCTATTGCCATACCCATTATACAACAAACAGCAAATGATAATGTGGCTTATACTTGGAGTATTGTGTTATCATGGCTTTTCCCAACATATTCTATTTCCAATATTTTCGTTGTGGTATATTTTGAACTTTTTCTTCTAATATGAACAAGTCGTATCTTTAGGTTTACACTAACGAGTTTGCTAAACATGCATGTAAGCCTGTGGACTGCAGTTTGAACATTCTTCAAAGTAGTGTACAATGCTGTGGACCGCCTAAAGGTAGTTGTGCTTTAAATATAAATATAAGTTCCCTTCCAGACCGAATCTACACTAACAATCTTCTCGGAACTGCTAGTAGAAAAGGAATCTTGATCCCGCTTTTGTTCTTCCTTGTTCAGGTACTGTTTCTCTTTTCCGTATTAGTTCTCAACCTTCTACAGGGATTCATGTATTGGGGCCTCACCTATGCCCAGGAAACTGGAATTGTCAGTAGATTCATTGAAAAGATCAAAATGAGCCGCAAAAGCAAAGTTGGACCTGCAGTAAGTTGTTTCAGTGAGAAACTCTTAGAAGAAGGTGGTTTAGGATAAGGATTTGGAAGAATATGGCAGCGCAAATATCGAGGACTCTGATGTACTCATGGAAAAAGAAAAAGTGGCTCGTATGAATGAAAATAGCTCTTCAGTGATCGTTCGAGATGTTAAAAAATGGTAATTTATTATTTGGAGAACAGTATTCATTCAATTTTTGATAGGTACGGTACCTTCAACGCTGTCAAAGGTGTTAGTTTCCATGTCAATGAGTCAGATTGTTTCGGATTGCTCGGTGTAAATGGAGCTGGTAAAACCTCTACTTTCCAAATGATCACTGGTAAGTGTAAATTTCGCTCACAAACTCATGTCTTGAGTTTAGGTAAAAATACTATATCTAGTGGAAAAGCCTTCATCAAGGGAAATAATGTTGCATCTGCATTCCGAAGTGCTGGTTCTCACATAGGTTACTGTCCTCAATACGATGCTATTATAAAACAGATGACTGGAGAAGAAACATTGTTCATGTTTGCTAGAATTAGGTATAATACATGTGGCTTTTGTATATACCGTAGATTGTTCAGAGGTATCCCATCAGATGAAATCCCAGAATGTGTTGATGCTGTTATCAAAGCTATTGGAATAGGCATATATGCTAAGAGACAGATCAAAGGATACAGGTATTTCCATGAGAAGAGATTTAAGTTTCAACCAATTATTAGTGGTGGTAACAAGCGTCGTCTCTCACTTGGTATTGCTCTCATTGGTTTGCCAGAAGTTCTTCTTTTGGATGAACCTACCAGTGGTGTGGATCCAAAAGCAAGACGTATCATTTGGAATATTCTTGCGCAAGTGAGAAATCTGGGAACAGCTCTTGTGCTTACATCGCACAGTATGGATGAATGTGAAGCTCTATGCACAGAACTTGCCATCATGGTTTATGGTTAGTTACTTTCTGATATTAAGACTTTCAAAAAAATATTCGTTCTGAGTGTAATGAAAAACTATGCGAGCAAGAATGATATGTTTTTGGTGTCAGAAAGAGGTGTAGACGAACAGAACGGTTGAAATCAGAGAAATGATATTGAAATGTCGTGACAGACATTAAAAATCTGTATCTTGTGTTATCTCTTTAGTCTACGTTAAACACGAAGCTTTTTATTTCAGGAAAGTTCAGATGTTATGGCAGTTGTCAACATATTAAGAGTCGATATGGTGCTGGATACACTCTTTTAGTACGTTTGAATCGCATTGAGGATCGAGATGAAGCTAAACAAGAAATTATGCGATCATTCAACGGTGCTAAACTGAAGGTAGACATACCATATTGTCATCAGTGTTTTTATCAAATTTATAATTTTAGGAAGAGCATGTACTACAACTTAACTTCGAACTTCCACGTGTTGCTGGTGTCACTTGGTCTAGTTTATTCGGATCACTTGAGAGAATCAGCGAGAGGCTAAATTTTGATGATTATTCTTTGAGTCAAACCACCCTGGAACAAGTAAGCAATGGATTAAGTTTGAACAGTTACCACCATTAATTTACAGGTGTTCCTTGAGTTTTCGCGTCTGGCATCCACTGAAGATAGTCCCGCTGTTCCTCAACCTTATATCAAAGAGTTCGGAGCCGACAACGGACTAGATATTCATTTCTAAAATCTCATAAAGCTTCATTACGTGTATTTCTTAAAACGTGTGATTATTCCTGAATTGTGATTGTACACTGTTATTGCCTGAAATAAATAATTATTAATTTATTCGTTTCTTTCTTAATCATGATAGATCTTTAACTTACAAGTTCGTCATAATGGTAGAGAGATATCATTTCTGGCACTGATGACTTATATTTGTTCTATGATGAGATGCTCGCCATAAATGTTATCAGTTTTATTGGTTAGGTAATAAGAGACAGGATGAAGTCTTTCTTCAATGTATCATATTTGTAACGTTATTCTCTAAAACAATTGATTATTTGAATATATCCTTTTAATGTTGTAAGTTTAGAATGAGACGTGAAGCATTCTTAGTACTCCTCGTTTGTATATCTCTTGTGTCTGTTCTAAAGGTAGTTTATCAAAGTCTTATACCGTTTTCATGAGTTTCACTGTGTATTCTCTAAGGCTGACGATACCCCATACGGAAGATGCATAGACTCTATGTTCAACAACGCAAACGTTAGGTTTTCCAGTTTTCTTCCTTTAATAATTATTTTTTGAAGTCTGATTTCAATACTGCTCTGAACATAAGTACAGATATCACATGGAGAAACTCAAAATCCTTGGACAGAGCTGTTCTCAAGATCATACAAACCGGAGGTATTGACGGTTTGAACTCCGTATGCAAGTATGTCATGTAAAGCTTTTTATCATGCTTCATGTTACTTTTAAGTGCTAGACAAGCGTTCTCTCAGAGCTTAGGTTTCACATATCCTTTCTGTATCGATCGGTAGGGTATGCGAAACTCATTATTTTATTACTTGATGGTTATAGCTATTACCTTCTGAGCCTGGGAAACACTGATTTTGTTAACACTGTCTATTACGTCCACCTTTTCAAGCATTTAGAGTTTGTGTGCAGTGCAGATTACGAAGGTAATAAAGCGAGTAATAAATCTTCACGTACTTCTTCTAGTTTATCTTTATGAAAACACTTGCATCACTGGAGGAGAGATGGCCCCAGGATATGAAGCTTGCCGCGCTACCTTCACTAACTCCTTGCAAAATGATTATAACAATCTATGCCCGTAAGACTTTGTGGCTTACTTTTTGAAATACACGTAAATTCAGCAACGTACAAATTTTGATGAACTGCATCCAGACCTTCTTCAAGAGTATCAGAATCTGCAGCACCTTCGTAAGTGAACGTTCTGACTAGCTTATTACATACAAAAAATTCAGGCTGCATGGTCTGAATGTGAAAAGGAGAGAGTTGGCTTTGCTTATGACTGTCCTAACCTAGTCTGCAATGTTTAGAGCTTATCCAGAAATGAAAACTACTCTTTTCACTTTTAAGTTTTATTATAACAATTGGTAAGCAACAAAACATAACAACTTTGCATATGGAATATAAATGATCAACAGTTTCACAATTTCCTTTCTTAGAAATCTGACAAAAAACCAAAATTTTGCATTAATACACGAATTATAAAGCAATATACCTGGGAGGGTAGAAATGAATTCGCTACCTAGACGATTAGAAAAGTTCAGTACAAAGTATATATACAAGATTATCAAGAAATACTGAGAGAATAATTCAAAAATCTATTTTAACCAGGACTTACCTGGGGTCCCTAACCTTTCGAGAAAGAGAGAGATCTCCTCTTCCAACTTATTAAAAAAAGGCTAAGTAGGAACAGGCCGAACATCATCTTTTATGTATTTAGAGATTAAACCGACAAAACTGTACTCCGCCGTGCATCCTTTACTCTTCGTGACTCTACCATTCTCTTGGTGGCTTCTAATATGCGTTTTGCACTAGCAGAGAGCTGAACAGAACAATCATTAACAATTAAATATATCTTCCTTACAGCTTTTTTGGGAGCAACAGGAGCTACTTCTTTCACTGTTTGTTGTTCAGCGTTCTCAGCTGGAGTTATCTCTGTGCAATCATCATTAGCTCCGCCAGCAGCGTCAGAATTATTATTCTCTACAGATCTGAAAGATCTCGCTGATAACAGCCTTTCAATCTTGAATTACTCTAATGGTTCTCGCCGTTGGAGATCTGTAATAATTTGTTCTGCTTCCACGACTAAATTGGCTGTCGATTCATCCCATTCTTCCGATGCAACAGACTGAAACTTGAGTTAAGCAGGAATTTGATTAGTAGAATAACCTTTTCTCGTTTATGAACTCTGAATCCCTTTTCTTTTTTCCGCTTCTTCTCATCTGCTTCTTTTTCAATTTCTCTGGCTAGCGCTTCGGCTCTATCACGCAATGATTCATCGAAAACCGCGGGAAGACTCATAACCTGCAACATTTCAGTTAAAAAGTAAGAGGAATGATCTCAACCTCTTTCATCTTTTCCCAATTAGTTCGTTCTTCACGATTAAATTTACTTTTCAATTCATTTCGAGCTCTACTAGGGAAAAACTGATGCATCAAACCGAAGTCTGTACCCGTACACCGTAAAAGTTCTGAGAAAAAAAAATGAAAATAAAATCGGAGAATAAAACAGACCATAAAACAGTTCATCTTCCTTCTTCGTCCAAGCTGTTCCCTTTCTCCACAAACGATTACGAAACGACAAAGAAGTTACTTTCCGAGAGAGACGATCCTGAAGAAGATGCTGATTCAACGGAACCGAAATAAAAACTGACATCGTCTATGGTTTCCCACATGGAGACATCTTGCTGAGTTTCAGCTACATACAAACTAGATTCATCCAGAACAAGCTTGCCATCCGGCCCAACTTTTACCTATCACAATATGAATAATTATTTTTGGATTGGTAACCATACTTGTGGAGCAGAAGTTTTCGTAGGACTGCTTACGGTCGGCACAGGTGGCTTATCCAATGGGGTTAATATAACATCTGTGGCTTCCTTTTTCCTAAAGGATACTATTTTAAAAATAAACCAGAGCGCGACTGACCTAAGGAGCGCTTTTTCATTCTTGGGATTCCAATAAATCATATCCATCATTCGCATTTTCTTTGTGTCTAATACTTCATCGCCACTGAACTTCTTCTTTTTACTAAATCAAGTTGTGAACAGGAGAAAGATAACGTTTAACAATACTTTTGAGGTCTAGCTGTTTCACAAGTTGAGGTTAACCTTGCTCGAGGAATGTTATTCTCATTTATTATTCTGAAATTTTTTGTATTCATATCAATCATGATTATACTTACGGAGCTACTCTTCTTCTAGGAGATAATATTTCGATTACATCGTTAGCTATAGGAGTTTGAACTTGTAGAGTTTGATCTGAAGAGAACTTGGTATAATAGCATCATAACAATAACTTACCAATAGGGATTGCAAATGATTCTTTAACTTCTAAGGTATAATTTGCATCTACAGAAGGAACTTCTTTCTTAAGAGGACTTAAAAACGTTTTCTCTTCAGCAATACTATAAAAAAAAAGGTTTTAAAACCAAAAATCGCATTTTGCAACTCAAACCTCGTGACTTCAGATGATGCTTCTAAAGGCGCTTTTGCAGGTTCTTGGGAAGGAGTTTCTGCAGGAGGCTCAGTTTTCTTTTGAGTTTTAGCTGCTTTCGAAAGATTAGGTTTGATTTTAAGCTTTCCACGAGCTAACATCGTTAATCTAAAAATGAGAGATGTTGGGTAATAGGGAAGAAAGACTGATAAACGGTTATGAAATCATTGGAGAAGTATGCGTTACGAAATGGTAAAAAAAAGTTGCTCTAGCGCTAATAAACAAGTTCTACTGAATTGAAAACACAAACTTTCATTTGTTTTTCTTTATTATGAAACGTGAAATTGAACGAATCCTATGTAGTCCATTGAATTAAGCAAACCTTCCCTACGACAATTTACGTACACAAATACGCAATTTCTCGTTCGCATAAAATCCGATGATTCTCCAATACTGAGCCAATTTGGGTAGATGGTCGTTTTCTCGTTGAGGCTTTATGTTTTTGCTTAAGTTCCCTTCATTTCAAGTATACACAACCGTTCTCTGTTGAACTTTCTTTGCTTTCTTAATTTCATGTCGGATACTCTTCAGATTTTCAGAAATGCCGCCGAAAAAGGGAGGCAAGAAGAACAAGGATGACGACTGGTCCGTTTGCGCCATGAATATATGAGAACCAACTGAAGTCTTTCAGGGGTGATGATGCTCTCGAGAAGAAACTGGCAGCAGTTAAATTGATGGAAGCTCAAGAGAAGGAAGACGCTGCATGGGATGATGAAAGTGATGATGAACCAGCTCCACCACCACCACCAAAAGCTAACCGTGCGAAAGCAGCTTTCGCTATGTTGGTATGTTGATGAACAGAGTATAAAAGTTCTAGCTTTGTCAAATAGATGGATGACGATGACAACAGCGACAAATCCGAATCTGAACCTGAAGCTGAACCTTCTCCAGTTAAGAAGCCTGAGCCCAAAAAAGCAGAGCCCAAGAAAGAGAAGGCTGAAAAAACAGAATCCAAAAACGAGAAGAAGAAGGGAAAGAAAGGAAAGAAGGTTTTCAACTTGTTTTGTTATTTTTTTTCATTCGCTGCCTAGGGAAATCAAGAAGAAGAGGATGAGCTTGATGCCATTCTGGCTAATCTCGATAAGCCTGTTGAGAAAGAACCTACTGGAAAAGGTAAAAAGAAGGGTGCAAAAGCTGAACAAGCTCCAAAGGAAGAAAATCTACCTCAAACTGGTGAGGTAGCAGCTGAGGAATCTCAGCCTGCTCAAGCCGAAGCTGCAGGTATCCGAAAATGTTCGAGTTCGAAAGAAATGTTTAAATTGAAGAAGGAGAAGCTGCTGCTGAAGACGAAGGCAAAAAGAAAAAGAAGAAGAAGAAAGATAAAAAGAAGGATGGTTCGGAAGAAACTGAAGAACAGAAAGAAGCTACTCCGGTAATATATTCATTAGTATTATTTTACACCAACAATTCAGGTGAATGAAGAGGGTGATGAAGGAAATGCTGGTGAAGATGCTACAGGTGAAGAAGCTACTGGTGATAAGAAAAAGAAGAAGAAGAAGAAGGACAAAAAAGAAAAGAAAGAAGGGGAGGATAAGCCCAAGAAAAAGAGTCATGTAAGTTGCAGCTCTTTATGAGTTCCAGTGTTGTTTTCCAGGTTGATATGATCAAAGAGTTATTGAGAGCCAAGAAGGAAGCCGAAGAGGCTGAAGCTCTACGTGTTCAACAAGAACAAGATAGAATCGACCAATTGGAAAGAGAAAGAGAGGAGCAGGTAATTTGAATGTCTTGATGTTTAATGGTTCACCTCAATGCAGGAGCGAATTGCTAGAGAGAAACGAGAAGCTGACAAAGAGCGCAAGAGACTTGCCATCCTGAAACAGAAAGAAGAAGGTGTCTACAAAACAGCTAAGGAAAAAGAAAAAGCTAAGATCGCTGCAGCCAAATTTGCTGCTGCTGGAAGTAATCCTCATATTTTTTCCTGGTTTCTCATGTGAATTTTCAGTTGATATTTCCACCATTGGTCATGGAGGGCCACCACCAAAGCCAATCGTTTATATGGACAAGAGAACCATGAAGAAACAGAAACAGAGAGAAGCTGCTAAGGCTGCTGCTGAAGAGAGTAAAGCCGAAGAAGCAAAGAACGAAGCAGACGAGAAAAATGATGCTTCTCAACAAGCTGTAACTGTTTTTCGTTTTCTGTTGAAAATGTGTTCTTTCTAGGAGGAACCTTTGGACGACTGGGAAATGGCTGATGTTGAAGACATCAAGTCTGCTACACCCTCCGAAGCTGCTCCTGCTCCTAAAGAATCTACTGTTAAGAAGGTTACTAAACAACCGGTACGTGTTCATATAATTTCAAATGTAACTTCTTATTTCGTAGTCTGCTGAAAAAGAGGAATCTTCCGAAGATGATTCAAGCGATGATGATTCTAGCAGTGAAGAAGAATCTTCGAGTGAGGATGAGGGACCTCGTGGAAAAGAAACCAAAGAACAAATCAAAGAGCGAGTTAAAAATAGACTGCAGGTATTGACTCTTGTTTTGTACTTAATGAACATCATTATTTCAAGAAACGTCGTGAGACTAATGAAGCTAAGCGCAGTGTGGACAAGCTAAGAGCTCCTGTAATTTGTGTCCTTGGTCATGTAGATACAGGAAAAACCAAAATGTTGGACACAGTAAGTATCTACCTCTCGCATACATTGTTAATATCCCACTGAAGATTCGTCGCACACATGTACAAGAAGGAGAAGCTGGAGGAATCACTCAACAGATTGGAGCAACTCGTGTACCAGATGAGGCGATCAAGGAGAGATGTAGATTGATATCTGATTTCAACGCGGACGCGATGAAGCTACCTGGATTCCTCATTATTGATACACCTGGTCACGAAAGTTTCTCGTAAGTGCTCCTTTGTTTTTCCAGTTATATGATTTGTCTAGAAACCTCCGCTCTCGTGGTTCGTCTCTGTGTGACTTCGCCATTCTTGTTGTTGATTTGATGCACGGATTGGAAGCTCAGACTTTAGAGTCTCTAAAAATGCTACTGAAAAGGGAAACCCCATTTGTTATAGCTTTGAACAAGGTATTATACAATATCCAGCTCGTCAGTTTAAACTACCTTAGATTGATCGTTTGTATGGCTATGAGTCCAACCCTAGGAAAGATGTTTATCAACATCTTAAATCTCAAACTCATAACACTCAAATGGAATTCAAAGACAAGTGCAACCAAGTTATTGCCCAGTTTGCGGAACAGGTAAATAATCACACTGTTATTAAATACTAAAAGTGATAATGAAGGGATTGAACGTTTGCTTGGGAACTGAGAATTTGAAAGATCCAGATTACATAAAGATGGTTCCCACTTCTGCCATGACAGGAGATGGAATAGGAAACTTGATGTCTTTCATTGTCAACAAGTGCCAGACTGAACACGCAGTCAAGCTTTCATTCTGTGAGGAGCTGGATGCTTCTGTTATGGAGGTCAGTTTCATCAGCAGTAAGCTCCCTATGTTCTAGCTTCAGGTCAAAGTAATCAGCGGATTGGGTACTACAGCCGATGTCATTCTTGTTAACGGTTATTTGAGAGCTGGAGATATATTGGTTTTAACTGGGTTAGACGGAGCTATCATAACCCAAGTTAGGGACCTGTTAATGCCTGAACCTCTGAAAGAGCTGAGAGTTAAGGTAAGATAGCCTTATGCTTCGCATATTTCATTCTTTCCTCAGAATGAATATGAACGATACAAAGAAGTCAAAGGAGCTCAAGGAATCAAACTGTTGGCTAGAGGTTTAGAGAAGGCAGTCGCCGGTTTGCCCATCTTTGTTGCTCACAATGAAGATGAAGTTGACTTTTTGAAGTAACAGTGATCTCGTAGAACTCATAAACTAAACATGTGGCATTGCAGGGAGAAGGCTGAGTTACAGTTAAGTAAAGCTTTGACTTCAATTAAGAAGAAATCGGAAGGAGTATACGTCATGGCCAGTACTCTTGGTTCATTGGAAGCTCTGCTTGAATTCTTGAGAACACAGAAGATTCCTGTAAGTTTTTCACTTTAGAAGTAAATAAGAATTTGTTCTTCTCAGTATTCTAATGTTAACATTGGACCAGTACATAGGAAGGACGTGCAGAAAGCAGCTGCCATGAAAGAGCATAATTCAGAGTTGGTTTTTCAAATATACAAATCATTCAACTTATATTTTACAGATACGCTTGTATTCTTGCGTTTGACGTTAAAGTAGAAAGAGACGCTCAGATCTTTGCAGATCATGAGGGAGTGAAGATCTTCCAAGCTGACATCATTTATCATCTTGAAGATAGTTTCTTAAAATACAAGTATTCCTTCACATTTGTGCCCATTTATCCAATCAAATGTTTTCAGAGAAGACCTCCGGTTAGCAGCTAGAAAAGAAAATGAGCACAAAGCAATCTATCCTTGCAAACTCAAAATTCTACCACAACATATTTTCAATGCCCGTAATCCCATTGTGTGCGGAGTAAACGTCGAAGCTGGACTACTCAAACGAGGAACTCCCATTTGTGTTCCTAGCAAAGATGTAATAGTTATATTCTGAACATCTCTCATATGATATTTCCAGAGAATCTACATAGGAACCGTATCTTCCATCCAGCGTAATCATGAGGAAGTCCCAACTGCTAAGAAAGGAGATGAGATTTGTATCAAGATTGATAATACAACTGGAGAAGCTCCTAAACTGTACGGACGTCATTTCAATCATGAAGATATTCTTGTTAGTATGGTAAGTATCACTCTAGTATAACATGCTTTGAAAAATTATTTTTAAGATTACCCGTGACTCCATAGATGTCTGTAAGACATATTTCCGTGATGACTTAGCACGGGAAGACTGGCAATTAGTTGTTGAATTGAAGAAGGTTTTGGATATAATGTAACTTCTTTTTCCTGGTGCATATCCGTTGTTGTTTTCTTGATTGTTTTCTAATGGGTTTTATGATTTTTTCTTGCTTTTAGTCATACGTTTTCATATAAAAATTCAATGCTTGTGTTTGACCTTTAAGATAAAAATTTTATTATTTATTATTACTTTGAACTAATCTCTTTTACGGACCCTTAGTTCCAATGATATCACACGAAGTCACTAAATGTGAAAATGAGCAAAACCGCGAAAGAATGTAAAACGTCTATAGTTCTCGGGGACCCGCTTTGAGAACCTGTCTGCTTTGAAGTTATAAATTATTAGTAAGCTAAGCTATTTTAGTTTAGTTGGTTGAGATACATATCCATTTCGATCCAGTCGTTGACGCAGCTCTTCTACTGTGCCTGTTGATGTTATACCATATAATGAGTTCAGTATAGGTACTGTAAGAGCGCGTTCAAAAAAAGTAAGATGGTCAGTAAGGTTACCTGCTCTGATAGTAGGAGTAGCGCTGATTTGCTCCCACTGTGTTTTCAGCTGCGATACAGACGATCTCACTTCGATGTTGAAATGATTATCGACATGAGGCTCTAGTGTTGCTACGATCTGAAACAGTGTTTCTTTTTATCTTTAGTTGGAATTCTTATAGTGTCTAGTTAATGCAATCATTCTGTGAGTTCTTGTTTGAAAAAAATAATTACATCAGAGAAATCAGGACGCTCAGATGGTTCTGAGTTCCATGCTCGGGGCAATAGTTTCAGTATATGTTCTGGAAACTGAGGTGTAGGTTGGCTAGGAAGTGATGGGCGTCCTGAAAGATAGCCAGTATATTACTACTTTTCGAATGGCGATGCTTTACCTTGCTTATAAGTCATCTCAGCGGCGGCAGCGGCTGGTTTTAAATGAGAAAATGGTAGTTCGGCAGAGTGTATTTCCCAAACTACAAGAGCAAAGGAAAACACGTCCAACAGCCTATTATATCTTCCACTTTGTGAGAAAACTTCTGGAGCCATCCATCTCAGATTCTGAAACAAGCGTGTTCTAATGCAACAAAGTTATCTGCTCACCCCTGGTTGTTTCGTTAAGTTATCATCGTCATTATTAGCAGCGAACCGACTCTCTCCGAAGTCTGCTACAACGCTTCTTCCATCTCCATGAATTAGAATGTTGTGACTATTTAAATCCCTGAGACGAACTCATAAATAAATCTTAAAGGGTACATACCGATGAATAACCGGTTTTGATGCAGCATCATGTAAGTATCTCATTCCCTGTGCTACATCGTAAGAGATTCTGAGACGGAAAGCTGGTTCAAGAACTCTTTTTTGCTCATGAAGGATGGTAAATAATGAGCCATTCTCGGCAAACTCTGTTATTATAGCAAATTGCTGAAAAACTATTTTGAAGAGGAGTTGACCAGATCCACTAACACTTGGATCGTCCAAAGAAGCTCCGATGAAAGAGAGAACGTTGGGATGTGACAATCGTGATAGAATTGAAACTTCTCGACATAACATATCTACTTCAGATTTACTTCCGAAAGCAATTGCACGGTATCTGAACAATTCATCGGTATTATTATGACACTTTTCATGTTTACTTACCGCTTTATAGCCACTGTTCGACCTCTGTAATTTCCCTTGTAGACTTTACCAAAGGAACCACTTCCAATGGCTTCTTGAAAGTCGACATCGCCCAAATTCAAATGGAAGATAGGCTTGAGAGTGCTACGAAGTTGCAAAATTTCAGCCTTCTCTCGTGTTATAGAATGTAGTCGACCCATTGGGGAGGGTAAAGGAGTATAGGATGATTCCCCCGAGCTATAATGTTTGTGTCAAACAACAATTAATGGTTTCGAGAGTAACCTGTATTCACTTGCGACATCTCCATCAGCTCTTTTGTTTGCATAATGCTTGAGAATAGCAACAATTTCATCGTGGCCTTTTTCATAAGCCCAAATTACAGGAGTTTGTTGATCCTAGAACGCAATGTATCAATTCTAATTCAAGAAATATTCAAACCTCCAGTGATATTGTGGAGTTATGAGATGAAATAGACGACGATGCTGGCTCGGGCCTATTCAGTTGTAGAATGGCGGAAGCCACAGTAGATGGTTTGGAACAAACTGTAATATATAAGACATGATTCTCGAACAAAAGCGAAGTGCATACCGTATCCATGAGCGGCAGTTAACGCAGTATCTGTCGCTCTTGCCGTTAAACTTTGATCGGCCCCATGTTCCAGGAGAAATTGTACTATTCGTAAATGGCCATGATAACAAGCAGAGTGCAGCGCTGAAAGCGCATATTTAATTAACTTCATTTTTTCAACCAAACCTGTATGACCGTCTTGCCCTTGATAATTAGGATCAACTCCAGGCTGCTTTAATAATAAACTAACTAATTCAACTGATTTTCCACCAGTGCATGCAGCATGCAGAGGAGTTTCTGAGAAAACATTCTCCTGTAAATTGTTTGCTTTTGTGATTCTTTTTATTTCAAACCTTACCGAAGTAACAATGGCACTGGTAGTCAATGATAGCAAACTTCGAGTTATATCTACCCTACCAGCGTAACAAGAGAGATGAAGTGGTGTATCACCATATACATTTCGATTGGTTATCATCTGAAACAACTTGTATTTAAATACGGGTCGATGAAAAAGGTAATGAGTACCTCAGAAGTTGAGTTTGAACATCTTTTCAGTAAGAGCTGCACCAATTGCATATGTCCACCCTTGGCAGCGAAATGCAATGGCAAGTTACCTTCATCATCTTCCAGCAAACCTTCAATGAGGCCCAATAAGATCAGATTCAAATATCAGATATCAAACCATCAGCTTCATATTCTAATAACAATTCCGCTATAGCAAATAAGCCTCGGCTGGCTGCAAGATGTAAGGGCCTGTCACGAACCCCTCCTGCGTAGTTAGCATCAGCACCAAACTCCAATAAACATTTAACAACCTGCAAAAACGACCTAGCTTACGCTATAAATCAGTTGTAATTACCGCTTCATGAGCAAAATAAGTAGCACAATGAAGTGCTGTGAACTGTACAAAATCGTTTGCATGCAACGGAGCTCCTGCATCTATTAAACTCTGCAAGAAGTCAAACGTATATGGTAACTTTCACTAATGGACGTACTCTAACTATAGATGCCGATCCAATCATTGATGCTAAGTGAAGAGGAGGAATGTGATGCCGTCCATGTTCAGATGGATCAGCACCAAACTGAAGAAGACATTCAACAAGGGAAGAATCAGCCTATAAAATGAGTTCATTATAAGTATCAAAACTGTTGCTACCTTATAGATTGCTAGATGTAAAGGAGAGAACCCATTGTTTGTTAACTTGTTCAGCATGAATTTCTGTTTAGTTGCATCAGATTCATAAACTGCTAGCAGTTTTGCAACTTTTGACTGTTGCTATAACGAACATAGCGAGGAATCAAGCATCACATCACTTACCGAATCACTGTGCCCTGCACAGATAATATGAAGCAAAGATAAGTGTTGTGGTGTGAGGATTTCGATGTTTTCTTGTGCTACGAGAGCTCCAAAATCTTGCGAACTTTTTTCACTATAATATGGTAATTGAGGTCAGTTATCTAATGACACCATACAAGGCAGCGACTTGAAGTTCGTTCCATGATGCGACTCGAGTTTTAACATCATCGTTCAGCCGACTACGGATCACCGAGTACCCTTCACTTATTTTCTTCTTGAGTTCGTCTGGAAAATTAATAATAACTTGTTTATCTAAGAGGAGGTTAAGAATCAATCAACAAACTGATAAACGAATCAATTCGTTAACTTATGAAATATTGGTTCAACCGCTCAAAAGTGCTCGAGCAATGTAAATGAATTTCAAAATGACATGACGCTATGTTTATGATTCGCAGTAGTTTATTCTAATCACTGATCAATCAATATTCCATAACTAACTATAATTGAAGAAGACTAACCTGAACAAGAAGTGGAAGGACGCGATTTGTAATTTCCCATTCACATTTATATGATTCTCTCCTGAAATCACATATAAAATAATATAAATAAGTGTTTTCATCTAGTTGTTGTAAGAGATAAACTGCGAGTTTTTTTTTCTATGAGTAGTGCCATAGTTCATTGTATAGTAGTAACCTGGCTTCTCTATATTTTACACTTATGAAGAAGACTCAGTACAACACAAGAAAGAAATGAGCAGAGCGAAAAATCAATATCGTGTCTCTGATTGATGTTGAGAGATTTTTCTTCTGCAGAGAAGATGAATAAGAAAGCTGCAAGAGGTAGCCGCGAAGATTGCAGTTTCTGATCTTAAGAGCTAATACACTAGGCTTCAATGGCGATTTTAATTGAATCAGTAAATTCTCGAGGACTTCAAATGATATCATGGAAAGTTGGAGTTGAAATCGTTATCAGTTGAAGACTCCCTAGTATTGAATTTCAAAGGTGAATATAAATATAGTGGTTAGATATTTCAGTTTCAAATCCTGTGGTCGCAAAGAATATATATTTGTCTTAGGAGCAGTAAAGAGCTCAACTAGCTGGCTTCTATGACTCATTATTGTTTTGTACTTAAAGTGGACACAAAGTAAGACGAAAGACTTAATAAAGAAAATAACTGTAACATTCGTGATCACGGGCCTTACAACTCAGAGCGCAAGGAGCAATAGCTGTACAACGTGAGTCTCCTATAAATTCATTGAGCTCATTCATTGCTTCCCTATCTCACTCCACCCTGAGAAAGTCATTTATAAAAAAGAGGGATATCTTCAAAAATTACTGTTGAAACTATTACAATTCCCATCAACTTTCAACCACTATGGTAGTATATAATATAATTTATTTTGCGTTGAACGATCATATAAACTTTCGAATAATAATCTAAATCGAGAAAACGAATAAAATCAACAATTTTGATACAAACACTCATTGAAAGTTCTTGTTGATTCTATTATCTATGCCTTCTTCTTTAGCCAGCCAGATGAACCACCATCGCATCCTCCTGAGTTCGAGTAACTGCAACCTTGTTGATTTGAGGAATACTTCGTTGATGTACCTAAAGTGGAGTTGCTCATTTTCAATTTATATGAATTGAAGGTTACTGGATATCCTTTTCCGGAGGTTGTTTCCGCTGTTGATCACACCGCTTGACATCGTGTTCGTGTTCATGCCTTGCCCAAAGTCGAGCCCCATTCCATACATCCCGTAGCCGCCGAAGCCGTAATTACCAAGTAAAGAGTTATAGTTATTCATCCCAGTCATCCCAGTCATTCCACTCATCCCACTCATCCCACTCATCGCACCCATCCCACTCATTCCATTCATTCCTAGAATTATAAAACTAAATTGGAATCGTCTGAAAACTAACCGTAGGATCCCATCATATTGTACGGATAGGAGTTATAGAGTCCATATCCGCTCATGGCCGAATAATCAAGACCGCTACCGTACATACCCATAGGATTCATCATCATGCTATTGTAAGGAAATCCTATAATTGAAGTCTAACGAAAGTTTGAACGAAGTATTAACCTCCAAGCATATTACCAAACTGAGCAACTACTGAACTGAATATGAGGAATAAGCACGAGAATGAAGACAAGTTGAACATAGTGAGATTACGTTTCCAAAGGTTGAGTTAACCTCTAACTCTTCCTTATATAGTGCCAGATTCATAGTGTCAATAGTATGAATACCATCTTGAGTAGTCAAGTATTCACACGACATACTGAAGATGCACGCAGAACTTGGAAACTGAAGTAAAGCATAACCAAGTTTAAGAATCTCTTTCACGACCAATTTCTAAAGATTACATAAACACTACGCAATCGGTGTCCCCTCAATTGACACAATCGTTTAACCCAGCAACTTATGTTTTGGAGATGGAGATGATGTAACAAGTTCAGGAACTATGTTATATTTTGATGGACCTATATTTCTTTTATTTTAAAATGTTTTCATATTCATGCTTTGTTTTAGTGACAAGTTCGTTGCTACCATTCTGTCCATCTAGTCATTTTCACATTTGCACAGTCCCCACTCTTCATTATTAGAGTCTTCTCGCTTTTTTTTTATCATTTTCTGAACTTACCACCCCGTTTCCAACATTTTGATAACCGAATCCCGATAATCAAAATCTATCAGCTTCACAGAGCCGCTCAGCGCACTATACATTCGCTGTTTACAACTGAACGCGCCCAGCGATGAAATATTATTCGTCGTTTGAATAAAATGGTCTCAACCTCTTACCTATTGTGTAATTATTGATTCTTGTTTTTTAACTTATATCTTTTCCATGAGTCATGCTTATCGATTTTGGTTCAGTGTATTTAAACGATTAGTTTTAAGAAAATGCTCCGATCAGCTTTAACTATTCCTCGCCTGACTGTGCGTTCATTTTCTTTATCGACTCGTGCAGCTTCAGAGGCTCCTTCTAAGAAGGATGTAGAAGATCTTTTCTCAGAAAAGCCTCAAGATAACAAGAGAAGTAGCTTCAGGTATTGAATGAACATGAGCAATACATGAGTTGAACCTCTTGTTTTCAGTAAAAATCATGTAGAAATCGTTGGAGGTGTTGCTGCCGACCCATTCCACAAACTCGGACAAAACAACCGAGGCTTCACAATTCTGAATGTCATTACTAATAACCGTTACAAATTGGCTAATGGAGAGTTCGCTGAATCGGTAACATTTTGTTGTTAGAATATTAAGTAATAGGCTTATTAGAAAGAACGACACACTATTACCTTTTTCGGAAAGAAAGCAGACTATGTTGCTCAGAATATTAAGAAAGGTTGTTAATGCGCCATTTTTGATTTGATGCTGTTTTGTCTAGGCAATCGTGTTATGATCGAAGGACGTCTGCATTATTCTGGCGGACAACTCCTAGAAAACGGAGACAGAACACCCAAACAGACACATATACACGGAGATAATATTCAGAGCTTAGCTCCCGCCAAAAACTAACGGTGTCAACTCCATGATCTTTTTCTTGTGACTCATTACACACTTATTGAAGAGCATTGTGTCGGAGTAATTATTGTTTTAGTTTATGTAGGTATTCTGTTATTGTTATTGAAATACGTCAGAAGATTCTTTCAACATTTAATACTGGGTTTATATCCGGATATTTCTCTCTTTTCCCAATGCTGTTTGACTCATCCTAAAATTATTTTTACAGTAGCTCGATGAATCGCTCCGCTAAAGTCGTATTGTCAGCCACTTGCGGCCCGCAAAGACAGACGTTCAACAGGTATTTCAAAGATTTTTTTGGTTATTTTTATCTCCTGGAGACAAAGTGAATGAATATCCATGTACAGAGTCGGTGTCTTGATCCATCGTCGAGATGCTTATGCTAAGCTTTTTGAATTCGCTCATCAAATACCAGTGAAATTTCGTGTTTAATTCGATTGGGAAAGCTGAAAGCTTGCTTAGCTTTGTTGCCGATTGATTAAACTTCCCCGGTCCGCAAGCTTTGTTTCATATCCTATTCAGTGGGGGCTTGCAAGCATCCGTTTTCTAACTAGAGTGGCGTGTTGTGTCCTACGACCTGCGGATTTAACAAGCTTCCTTCATTTCGACTCGATGACTACGTGGATCATATCATCTAACTATCTAGATTTACGGTTTTTTGGGCTTTGTCCATCTGTTCAAATAAATTTAAACCTTGTAAACATTACATTTTTAAATGTTGGTCTGAGGCCATCTACATATCTGTACGTTTTCTTGTTTTTCTTTGATGGATAACCCCAGTTTGTTCAGGTAGAATGGTTGTTAAACTAACATTAGACGAAGTTTTGAAAAAGGAAACCTTCCTGTTCGATGCGGATGGTGTTTTATGGACTGGGGATAAACCTATAGCAGGTGCTGTGGAATTCATCTCTTCTCTTCTTGCGCAAGGAAAACGCGTATTCATCCTGACCAACAATTCCACAAAGACTATCGACCATTATATGAAAAAACTCGAACGACTTGGATTCCCTGAATTACCTAAAGAGAATGTTATCAGCCCTGCCATCGTTATATCTGCCTATCTTGCCGAAAACAAAGAATATGAAAACCGCGAAGTCTATTTATTAGGAACCGACAGCCTCCGATCGATCATCGAAAGTGAGAGCACTGTGAAATGTATTGGAACAGGCCCAGATGCCATCACCGACTACACAGATGAGGATATTCTGCACCATCTTGACTTGCATGCAAACCCCAAAGCTGTGATTTGTAGCTTCGATTCACATTTCTCCTATCCTAAAGTGATGAAGGCAGCTAACTACTTAAATCGACCTGAAGTACAGTTCCTGATTACGAACGAAGACTACACTTTCCCTGGTCCTGACCCAAATATTGTTATCCCTGGATCTGGAACAACTTCAGCTTGCATTCGTGCTGTTACTAATAAGGAACCAATTGTATTTGGTAAACCCCACAAAGCTTTAGCTGACTTCTTGAAGAGAAGACATCACATCGATTCTGCGTCTACTATTATGTTCGGCGATCGTCTAGATACGGATATTGCTTTTGCCAATAATAATGATATCGATAGTGTTCTAGTTCTAACTGGTATTCATTCCCTTGCCGATGCCAAAAATGCCGAAGAATCGGGAAAAGCTAATCTTGTCCCCAAATTTACTTTTTCGTTCGCTTAGATTCGTTCACATAGATTCGTTCACTTTGTCTCCGAGTGTTATTTAACTGTTATGTTGTAGCTTGTTTAATAAATAGTTTTTAGGCTTTCGACTTCTGTCGTAGTGAGGAAACATGGGGAATCAACCGAACAACCAAAAGCTCAGGGGTGGTTCAGCAAAATCTTGGTAAAGTTATTGGGTGCTTCAAACTTGTCTATTTATGAATTATTCAGACTGGACAGCAAATGGATCCCTCCGGATGGCAAAAACAAAGTCACTCAAGTTTGTTGAGTACTTCTGAAGCTATTTATGAAATTTCCAGTGAGTTATTGTTTTCATTGACCCGTTTCTAATTTTATTCGTCTTCAGCTCACAATTATAAGCCAGGGGAGAGGGAGAACTATTTGCAAAGGTTCGGAAACTTGAAAGTTGAACTTTCTGAGAAGGTACTGTTGTCGTTTACATTTGTTTTTTTCAATTCCGTTGTGTCTACAGATTCCTTCTGTTGAATTGGTCGGATCGTGGACTGTTAACTATGGTAGAACTAGAGACCAAGCCATCCATTTGTGGCGTTATCGCAAAGGATACACTGATGTTGATAGGTAAACATTGTTCTCACTAAAAAACAAGAATCACGACCTTTTAGTATTGTCAAAGTGAGTGGTTCTGATGCGGGAATCATGGCAGCTGATAATGATGTTGGAAAGCTTTGCGGTCGCAGAAAGAGTATCTTGGTTAAATCGTTCAGCTACTGGAGAGAACCTGAGCAACGTCCTGCTAGTCATGTTTACGATATGCGTAGTTATTGCCTGCAGGTGCATAAGGCTGGAAGAAGCTTTCATTAATGCCTCTATTCAGCCAGGGTCCATGATTGAATGGGCGAATGCTTGGGCCAAGGGCATAACTTTCCGTCGTGAACAGAATCAAGACGTTGGAGGATTCTTTGCTCAAGTAAGTAAATACTTTAGTGTGTAAAAACAATGCTGTATTTTGTCAGATTGGTCAACTCTATGTTGTTTATCATTTTTGGGCTTATCCCTCAATGTCTGCAAGACATGACACTCGAACACAAACTTGGGCTAAGCCTGGTTGGGACGCTACTGTAGCTTACACCGGTATTTTCCTGTCTGCACTTCTCTTTACCTCAATCACTTAATTTCAGTTCCTTTGATTAAAAAAATGCAATCTAAGATCCTAACACCAACTAAGTATTCTCAGCTTCAGTAAAAGCATAAAGGATGGATGAATCGATGTCCCAATAGCCGCAGCTCGAGTTTAACAAAATTTTTTAAGCGATAAGACAAATAGAGTGCACCAATCTTTGTTTATATTCGATGAATTGTGAATTTCATAGTCAGCCTTAATTTTTTTTTCTAGTTCTAATTACCGGGTGTGTTCTATGTAGATAGGAGGGGCAATTAATTAGTTTGTGGTTTTCACAATTTCGAAAACGTGTGTTTCTTTCTCTATCTCTTTTCTCTCTGTAATATAAACTATTCTATTTTGTTTTGTCATCGTCATCGTCATTCCGTTCATTTCGGACTTTATATTTACCTTTTTGATGTTTTCTGTCTCCTTACATCATTCCTTATTGCAGAAGAATGTCCAGAAATCCCTTTGACGATGATTTCAACAGCAGTGGAATTAACAAAACTAGTAAGTTCCATCTTTCACCTCTTGGAATCTATAATTTCTTTTGAGATCATGTGAAAAGCTATACAATGGCTCCAAATTCCATAGAAGACGAGGCTGATTATTATGAAAAACAAATTGAAAAGTACATGCAAGAGTCTCTCGATTCTACTGAACGCTCCAGACGTCATCTGGATAACTCGGAGAAGCTTGGAGTACAAACTGCTCAAGTTTAAACCATTTTCCATTGTTTGTCTTTACATCTGTCGTTTCAGGATTTACTGGAACAAAGAGAAAAACTAGAAAGAACCGAAGCAAATTTGCAAGATATTCGGCACACTACACAAGTATTTTTAGACTTCGATTCCATTTTTAGTCAGAACTTCTTCAGATTACACAAAGAAATTTGAACAGTTTAAAGTCTTTCTTTGGGGGATTCCTTAAAAACAAATTCAGTCGTAAACCTCAAGAACAAGTACCATCCGCGACAGTATGTTACAGTCGCTCTACTGTTTTCATTAATTCGTTCTCTTCTAGGTGCCTCCTTCTAAATCTGCCTCCCATCTCAATGATAAACTCACAGAACTCACACAGGGAGGTCCAAGCTCTGCTTCCTTCTCAGGTGGATCGAGTTTGAGCGATTCTTCGCGTGATACACTGAAAGGCACACGCTGGGAAGAAATGGACAAACAAATTGATTCGAACCTTGGTAATCCTCATGTGTTTTTTGATTGTATACCAAAGTACTTTAAGATAGTATGGCTGCCACTCTTCGCAACATTCGAGGACTTGGTTTGGCCTTAGGCCAAGAAGTTCAGGACCAAAATGAAATGTTGGACCGAATCCATAACACTGCTCTTGGAAACGACGAGATTATTCGTTCTCAAGACAAACAGGTTTCTACACTAACCTTTGAACTTCCTTTTTCAAATCATGTTTCCAGATGAAAAAACTTTTGAACAATGTGGACAGTAAGCAAGACGATTCTTCAGCAGTCCCAAGGTAATCATCTTTTCCAGAAAGCTGTAATTCAAAGTGTTTTCAGCATGGACACATCGACCAAAATGTCATTGGCTATGAAAGCTGGCTCTTTCCTCCGCTAAGTTCTACTGCTTCCGAGCTCTGCTTTCTCCGTTTCTTAAACATTCTGTACAGTCCTACATAGCAATAAAGGTATGTGGAGTTTCAAAGATAGAATCTCAAGCATAGTTTCAGACGCTTATAGTCATCTAACAATGTCAATAAAAAGAGTTTCAATCTGTGTATAGATGCGCTGAAATGGTCATTTGGGGTTTCAGTATTTGAATGTGATTTTTTCGAAGCTTATCCTGTTTATATTCGAACTTCCTTTTTTTGTTTTGTAACTTTTGTAAAATATTTCTTTCGATCAGAAAATATAAAGAATATAGTCAGATAATGTTCTTTATTAAGGGGTCATATTTGTATTTGAGGAAGTATTCTAATATTCTGCTCTGTTAATGTGCTCAGAGAGGCAGTCATGGTGCCATACCCATATTGTATCCAGTTGTTTTCATGTCAAATCGTATTGATTAGTTTCTCCGACAATTTTAGGACACCGAAGTCGCGTCATGACTTGGTGGGCCAACGGAGGACAATGTTTGATCAATCCACTAAATTAAAACAGGAATTCAACGAAAAATATGTTGTCCTTACAGTTAGAGGGACATGAAGTCTTATTTCCAGCCAACAAGGAGTTGAAGTTACATCTTGTCTCGGATAGTCAGGACCCCAACCCTGAGTTCGAAAAATAATTTGCCTGAACTATCAAACGAACCTTTGCGAATGATAATCTGATGGAGCACATGGTTTGTAAGGAGTATAACTTTTCAATGGAACCACTCATTCTCGTATCTTGCAAAGACTGAAAAGCATTACGACATTATATGGTTCTCGCATCATCTTACCTCATAGAAGATACTATTATCAAAAGCACAGATGACAGCGTTTTGAGGGACTCTTATGACAGCCAAATGCTGTAAATCGAATTAACAGGCTAGCTCATGCCCCTATCTTACTTGTTGATTGTTTAGAATATTGCAGTTCCATGACTGTACGAAAATAGGAGATCCTGATAAGTTTCGAATCATCAAACTGTTGCTAGAACTGTATTGAAGTACGATTCCTTAAGGGTTACGATTAGTTCAGAAAAAAATGTGGACTTGCCTCTGCCTATATGTCTTCTCGTATTCTCTACCGTGGTGTTCCTATTCACATTAGAGAGCAATCCTAGACAAACTCTATCTTCAGAGTTTGAAGGGTTCGTAAATCCATCGACTGTTACAGTTGGATTTGAAAACTAAATCATGTGAATAGGTTGTATTATTCTTGTTATCTTACCTTGAAAACTTCTCCCACTCTTGTGTTCAACTCATAATAACTTATAGAACCCCAGTAATGAGGCGCGGGCATCAGTTTGGATATTGGTGAAGGAAGCTGTTGATCCGGTAACTCATATCATTTGTTTCAAATCATACCTGTCGAGGTTGTGTGTCTCCATCTTCAGAGAAGACTGACGGACTTGCTGCTCCATAGTCAGATCCAGCTGAACTGGCTGAACCACTTGTTGCATTAGGTGGGGATGATGTGGAGACTGAAGAGGTTTGTTATTTCATAATTTCTTCAAGGCTTTACATGACATAGGGGATGAAATGGATTGTGGGCTCGAAAAAGAGGAGGATCCATATGACCACGGCTGAAAATTTTCATTCTACTCAAGAATGGTCATGAATATTCACCTTGGGATGCTCTATTCTGTTATAGTGATATGGGTTTATACATATATGGGATGATTTGCTGTTGCTCTCATAAGGATACGCACATTGAGGGATCGCACGAAGCTCCTGAAAAGTACGGGTTGCATAAAGTATTTACATAGCGCTCACTTGATGTGATTTGAGATCAGGCCACCTCCAAACTTGGCAATAAATAATATGCGGTAATGATTTCCTATGATTAACCTGCAAGTTTTCAAATTGCCCACGCAGTACACCTTTCCACGTGAGCTTTCAAAGTTTATTTACGAAGCATGAAACGGATGAAGCGGTTGTGAAACATTTGCGAAGCACAAATTCAAATTAATTTTCTTTTTATAGATAATTCAAAAAACTCCTAGTGATCACCCACCTGTAATCTACCATCTAAACTCTTCGGTATTGTCACACATCTCGAAGCTGCTCCAGGATGAGCAAGAGCGAACTCCAAATCCTCTAGTGTTCCTGAATGGTGAGTTGATTAGTTTAATGATTTAATATGACATTACCACATCCTTCTTTCCTTTTCTTTAATTTCTTTACCAAAGCTTCGACTGCCTTTTCTGCCCACTTCTCTTCATCGTCCGCTCTTCTCCACCCAAGGAGAGTCTTCACAGCGGCATTCCATTGTAGTAAGCTGTTCATATCTTGAAAGGTATTACGGAATTGGCAGAAAAAAACAGATTTTCAGAAACAATCAAGTTTGATTATGAGAGGATGTTGCTGAACAGATACTCGAGATTATACAAACGAACAAGTCAAACACACTGTCGAGAGAACCTCCGATGACATCATGCGCTTAGCCATTTATGACAAAGAATGGTTATGAAATGATAAAAAAAGAATGTGCAGGTATTAACTATCATTTAAGTCTACACACAGCTTGTGAGATAATTGATAAGAGAGGCTTATTGATTTTTTTAATTTGTATAGCGTTTAGTGCCAAGAAGTGCGCGTCGTGTGATAGACGCGCAGTCCCGACTAGTCAGGTTCGATGTGATCTTACGTTCAACTGATATTTTCAAACAAAAGATAGTCAAGATGATGTAGCGCATGGAAATTGATGATTAACATGAGAAGAACTAAGTGAAGTGTTCTAACTTATCAAAAGTAATAGTGATGTTCGCAGAGTTTGTATTACACTGATAAGGGGTCTGTATGAAAGAACATATGCGAATGATGATCTCCTTTCAGAAACCTGAAAACTGTATAAGGATAATCAAATTTTCTCAACAAGGCTCGATCACGCTGTAAGGGCAATACAATAGTGGAAAAAACCTGGAAGGCCACTAGAGCCCTCTATTCAAATGAAATGAGGGACCTTTGGATGAAAAATGAGATCATCAAACCATCAAAATGTATCCAATGACATTGATGTCTTCTATACGCTTCGCTTGTTCAAGTAAGTTGACCATCTGTCAGACTCCAGATCTTACCTTTTTGCGATTTCCGTGTATACCGATTTGAGGATAAGAGAGAGCGGGACAAAAAGGTTTTTATTAAGACAGAGATGTAACAACACTCTTTTGATATGGTAACAACACAGGTATAACAGTTTTCTAGATCTCTAATAATGCATGACTAAAAGCATTTAACAACAACGAGTATAGAACTCTATATCTTATTAACTAACAGACTACTTCTCAACTAATCTAAGCATGTTGCTCATCATCCTTTGGAATTTCATAAAGTGGAAATAGTTTTGCCAACTGTCGGAAGTCATCTATGGGTCTACCGTCCTCAATTAATCTTCTTGCTACATCAATCGATGGGCCAAAGACATTAAGGAGAAGAACACCGACAACCTAGAGAAACGTAATTCTGTTCATAATATGTTATAACACACCTGGTTTTTATCTCCTCGGTAAAACACTACTCCCCTTTCGTATTTTTCAGTATCGGTCTCCTTAAAAGAAATGAGATTAAGAATCAGATTTGAAGATTTGACTCACATCTTTCGCGAAGACGGATGTAGTGGGTAATGATGAGTTAGTATTTCCTACAGCGCTAATATGGTGTTTAGGTGAGAATTTAGTGAAGAAAGATGGTTGATACCTAAACAGGAGATGAAATAAAGGAAAAAAAGGAGTTTCACCAGAAAGCCTTCTCTCCGCCAGTCATATTTTCTCCAGCCAATCTTCCAGAAATTTGAGCGTGCTCCCAATGTTCGACACGTCTTCTTCCTAATATTTTATCATAGAACGAACAATTGTCCCCGGCACAATATATTCCCGATTTGACTCTGAGTTCTGCATCTGCCAGTATACCACCATTCTCGGCATCAGTCTAAACAAGCATGGTTATTTAATAATTATACAAGAGCAAGCCGAAACCTCCAATCCAGCAGGGCCGGCGAGTGCAACATCTGGATCGGCACCAATCGCCACAATAACTAAATCGCTCTCCACCGGAGGTGCATCTGTTGATAGCTTAATACGAGGTTTGAATATGATAGCCTTTTGAAAAGTCTCACCTGTAGCTTGACTTTATCATTTTCAGTTTTCGCTCCTACGATCTTAGTCTCTGTTAAGACATTGATACCAAAGTTACGAACGGATTCGGTGGCAAGCTTGCACAAATGCACAGGTAGTATTTTGGCAAGGCTTCCTTTTTCCGATATAATCTTCATAATAATAAGAGGGTAAGGCCCAAACGGACGGCTGCACTACCTGATTCACTTCTAAGCTGTTGTATTTCCTCTTCAGACTATAAGCTAATTCGGATCCTAAGAAACCTCCTCCTACTACAGTAACGGATTTAGCCTTCAGGCATTTTTCTTCCAAAGTGCGATAATCATCAACCTTCAAGAGTTAAATATGCATTCGAAGATAGGTAACACTTACATTTCGGAAATACAAAACTTTGCTCTTTACGGATTCATCTTTTTCCAGTTCTTTCAGTTTCTTTGGTTGAGAACCTGAATGGCTTATCATTGACGCTATTAGGCTAGAACTAACCTGTGGCAAGGAGACATTTATTAAAAGTGATAACTGATCCATTATCCAAGTAAGCTTTTTTTTCTTCTGGGCTTATTTTAACTACTCGATGCCCGGCTAGAAGGGAAACTCCACCATGAACAGCTTCATCAAGCTCTGCGGGTGGGACGAAAAATCCCTAAATATGATTTCCTTTGACGACATCAGAGATGGTAACCCTACGGGAGCTTCAAAATATACATCTCTTCTTTTCCCTGTTAAAGCTCTATATTGGAGCGAGTCTTTGGAGTTTTCATCTCCATACCACCACAATTCTTTCGAGAGAGGAGGTTTTTGATATGGCAACTTAGATTCTTCCCCGACCTAGATCATGCGTTTTACTCATCATCTTAGAAGTCTAGTCACAAACCATTAAAACCTTAGCATTAGCATCCCTAGCCCGAATAGCTATCGCAGCATAATAAGCCGCGGCTCCAGAACCGATAAGCAGATATTCACAATAATGGGGTATCTATAAAAATCTCTTATTCTTGAACAACTACAAGTTTTCAATTGAGCATGCAATGGCAAAACAAACGTCAACATACAAAATAGAAAAATCTACACAACATCTATAATACTCTTTTAAATCATTCTAAGAATCCACCTTGGCGTTTTCCTCCTTGTCTGCTTCAGCGACATTAGCCTGTAATTATTACTTTAATGCTTTTCAGTAAACATTTCAATATACCTCTTTTGGTTCGGCTGCAACTTCTTCTACAGGAGCTGATTCGGTTTTCTTAAATGATCGTAGTTTTATCTATCATTAAGGTACTCACCTCTACAGTCTCTTCAACTTTGACCTCAGAAGCTTCTTCCTTCACTTCTTCTACGGCTTCGACAGCTTCTACAGCTGCTGGTTCTGCAACGACTTGCTCTTCCTTAACTTCTTCGACTACTTCCTCCACTGGAGCAGGAGCGGCAGGTGCTTCAGTTTCTACCTTTTCTTCAGTCTATGAATTAAGAATATTTGAGAACACTCCTGAGTTAAGTGATTACCTTTTTTGCTGGGGTTGGCTTCTTATGCTGATGAGCATGTTTGTCATCCTTGCTGAAGACGTCTGTGTAAGTGATCTGAAAACTGAAATGTAATGTATTGTTCAGAATAAGGGTATCACAATAGCCAAAGCAGTTAGCAAGACTCCAACTCCAGCACCAACGAATGATGCATAATCTTCTGGACCTGGACTGTATGGGGTTGGAGGGCTGATTGGTTCGACCTGTTACTATAAAATAAGAACTATGTATCTGAGCTTAATTCGAACCTTATTGCCGAAAAGCCCTTGTGGTTTTCCTGCAGGCTGAGGAATGTAAACGGGTGTTGGTCCTGAAACCAAACATGTTACAAACATACAAAGAAAATGTGAAACCGTGATCGTGATGGCCTCCTAGTCTGACGGATGTTGTTTTTAAGTTTCTGAAGGTATTTCTTAAAGTAATTCGGGAAGAGCTGTGAATTAGTCTAAAAAGCATTCTAGCCGGATCTATCTAGTGCAGCTCAGGAAGTCGCTAAACAAGAGAAAAATTAACGAGCATTATGAAAAACTGAGGGATGGTGATGGAACAACCACGAATAGAAAAGAAGCGTTGAAAACAATTCCCTTTATGAAGAGATCATGCAACCCGTAAATAACAATTACAACGATAACAAACTGGACAAAACATGTCACATCGGAATAACCTTTTGTTTCAGAGGAGAAGGTTCCATATGCACCGGGGATGATGGAGGAGGAATATCAGGTTCCGGAGAAGCCGGAGGAGGCACTTCAGCATCAGGAGAAGCTGGTGGAGGTAACTCGGCTGGTGGCGAAGCGGGAGGAGGAACTTCAGCTTCGGGAGAAGCAGGAGGAGGTAACTCTTCTTGTGGTGAAGCTGGTGGTGGTATCTCAACCAGTGGAGCTGATGGAGGAATCTCAGCAACTGGTGAAGCTGGGGGAGGAATCTCCGCAACCGGCGAAGCAGGAGGAGGAATATCTGCCACTGGAGAGGCTGCAGGAGGTAATTCATCCTGTGGCGATGCAGGTGGAGGGATTTCCGCTGGAGGCGATGCCGGTGGTGGAATTTCGGCCGCTGGAGAAGCTGGAGGTGGAATTTCATCAACGGGAGAGGCTGGAGGTGGAATTTCTGCAACTGGAGAGGCTGCAGGAGGTAATTCATCCTGTGGCGATGCTGGTGGCGGTATTTCTCGTTGATTAGACATTGGAATTTCAGCTTGAGGCGAGGCTGCTGGAGGGATTTCAGCATCTGGTGATGCAGGTGATGGTATGACTCTGTTCACAGCAACACTCTTCTTGGTTGGTTCTGATTTGGTATGCTTCCCAATCTTATTTGGTGATGTTCCTTTTCTATATGGCTCGGCAACTTTTTTACTTCTGATGTTCGGGCGCTTCGCGGAATTCGAACGTTCATCATGATTTTGCTTCTTTGTCGAGAGATCACCAGTGTCGTCCACTAGATCTATATCCATCATTTCATCAGTTTTTTCTTTGGCATGGTTTCTAGATCTCTTCTGTTTCCTGATCAACTCGATTTTGGTCGCAGCGTCCCTCAGCTCTTTGGCTTTCTCAAAATTGCTCGGCATGTGAGTTATTAACGGTAATAAATTCTGAAGTACTGCGGTAATAAGAAAGGTATTAGATTATGCTTACCTCTGCTACGATTTCTCGTCTGGATTGATTACGGCCCAGTTCTGCTAATAAATAATCTGATCTAGTTTTAGTCCAGGGAGCAATTGGATTCCACAAATACGCTGAAATGAAATTATTTCTCAAGAAGATTTTCTTGTATGGAATTCAACCGTTCGGAACAGAAAGAGAAAACTTACATGTGTCAAGCTGAACATCGCGTACTTTAGTATGCCACTTTCTGAGTAGCTCCGATACGCCCATATTTAGATTTACAGTGGCAGGAATGACGTTTTGTTCGTTAACGAGATAAGTAAGATACTTCGGAAAAGCCTTAATGATTTGATTTTAAAGTTTGTCTTTTAAGGTTCACTAACAAATTTTACAAACTCCCTCGCGAGTGAAGTTGAATCTCTGAATTGATTTAGTATGTAGTTATTATTTTTTACAAAATAATCTCCGCAAACTACAACCATGGGAGAAGTCATATCGGCGAACTTGGGAGCGTACGTGATGAAAAACACAGTGAACTCGGGGCACTTCAAATCAAGAGGAAGAAGAAACTGGTACTGAAAGATGATGAGGTTCACTGCGTAAATTGAAACTTTTTATTACAAGTTGCTTGTCGTATGCCGGGAATATGAAATGCTCAACCAACATCTTTATGAAAACTTCTGCGTACGCTCTACTAGTGCTTTCCTATTCGATATCAATTTAGTTCATTATTGGCGTTTCTTCAAGATACCTTGGAAAGCCATTGTGAAATAGGCATATACAGATGGAGGACAGGAACTTGTAATGCAAATGAAGCTAATCGAAAAAGCACTTGTATTCTGTATTCATGTAGAATAGTATCGCCTTGACGGCCTAGAAAAATAGCTTCGAAATAGGCGTTTTTACTGGAATCTTCTGACTTTTCCTGAAAGTTTTCAGATATTTTTGCTTCTGATTTTTTTTCTACCGTGAAGAACTGAGCAAGTACTCTAAGTAAAGCAAATTGTTGAAGAGAAGACAATCTTGTAGTAGTTCTATCGTTAGTTAAGCAAAATATATCATTGTCAATTAGAGGCTGCCATTCAGCATACTGAGGTGCTAAAGTTCTTTTTCTTGCAGGTCCAGCTAACCGAACGTGTTTTGAGACCTTAAATAAACATTTAAATATCGCATGATATGATGATTCAAACTTGTGCCAGAGCATCTAGAGCACATTGAGGGAAAGGGAGATTTGTTGTTGCGGGAATAACTGGACCAACATGGTTTGGGCCACCACCTCTGGGTGGTCTCATAATAAGAAATATCTACGAAATAGCTATAGACGGTCGGAAAAGACTTTCAAAGTTTTAGAAATTTCATTGAAGATTTATAATTACATGCAATTCATGATTTTACGCGCTGCATGCACGCCGTTTACAACGGCATTATGGGGGAGTTTGTTGGGTTTAAATGTCACCCAGGCGCGAATTTGAAATTTTGCATATTGTAAATTTTTGTTTTTATTTATTTTAATGAATTTACGATAGTGTATCCTTCATTTTCAGAATATTAACAAAAAAAAATAAATGATACATGTTGACTGATTCTTTGCGCAAAGTTTGTTAAGCAAGAACTGCTTGTGCTTTGCAAAATTATGAGTGATCCTGGAAGATCAACGTTTTCTGCTAGTAAACCCCTAGAAGAAGGGGGTGGAGGAAAACTACCACCAATTTCATTTTTTTCGTCTTCTTTACCACCTCTTAAAACTGATATTCCGGAATTATCGTTTTACGGAAGCACCTCTTACGCTTCGCCTAATAAGAGCTTTCCTTCGCCGGTAATTCATATTTCATGTGATTCTCAATCATGTTTCTGAAATTTTCTAGCAAATGATGTGTTCTCCTGTTATGTCTAACGTATCGATAGGCTATCCTACAAGTGTGAATAGTATTCCGTCTCGAAGCTACAGCGTGCATGACGGTATAGCGAAATTTCATGAATCTCATATATATATTTATTATTTAATAGACTCGGAGAGTAATATGCAGAAAAAACCTATTAATTCTACTAATAATCAACCCTCATCTAGTAACGTCTCGTTACTTCCCAATCAAAATGCCCGACTGTCCAATATGACCAAAGAACCTATGCGTGATTTTGAAAGTAATTTTCTGCGCGCGTCTTGTCAGGCATTAATATATCACTTTAGGCGTTCCTAATTCCCCTCATTTGTTCACTGCTTCCTCGTTACCTTCACCGAAGTCGGTACCAAATGTAAGATATTCACTAGTTCTTGTTCTAAATAACTTGCCTTCTATTACAGTTAGGTGATGCTTCACTCGCGCGATCGATGATTGGCGATCATGATTATCAACGAAGTAACCGTTCAGACGAAGCACTTTTTAAAAACTATGGAGATTCGCAAGAAGTTGAAGTGGGTGTGCCTGCATCATTTTTCCAATCATCTTTTTCTTCTAGGGGCTTATTCAACTAAAGCCTGTTAATTCTTCTCAGTCTCTAACGAATGAGGATGAGGCGAACAAAAAGAATGTTCAAATCATAACAGAATCTCCTCCTGTATCGAAAACTGTAAATGTTAACTCTAAAGATTCGAGCAAAACTCCCAAAAACAACTCTGGCGCTCGTAAAACTGAACCAAAGGCGAAAGCCTCGCCTCGAAAGCAAAAAAATGCATCGCCGGTTTTGCTCAATTTAGGTATAATTGCTCAAATGGCTGCCGAAATTAATTGTATGTTGCTTGTAGATGATTTTCAACAAGTTATTCGATCCAAAGAGAAGAAGTCGAGTTTGCTCGTCAATCTGCTCACAACCACTGACGATTATGCAAGCCTTGTAAATGGTTTTCGAAAATCAATAATCCTCTTTGTTAAAAATAGAAATTCAGATCCATACAAAGTCAGTCCGTTGGAATCTACGAGTCATGAGCTACCTCAAAATTCTAATGTAAATAAAGCTCCCGATAACTCTAAGAAATTGCCTGTCAAAGTCAGTCCTCTCATTCGAATTCTTTCATAATGTTGTTCTCTAGACAAGCAATGATTTTCATGCCATTATTGAGCATAAACCTCTACCTCCAATTGCACCTCGTAGGTCCGCACCTTCTCCTGCTCTGCACTCTGTAAGTGCGGTCCGTTTTCACATTACGAAATTTCAATTTTACAGGGAAATCTCGCGCCTTATTCTCAACCTTCAGCAAATCATAATGGTCCACTCGATCATTCTAATAAAATGCTTCATGGAGCAACAAATAGAAGTTTTAATAATTCTTCTCGGATATCACCGACTATCCGCGATGTTATTCAGGACATGCCTGTTTCTGATCCTTATGGAATGGTAGCTCATATAAACTATAAATTTTCAATCTTCAAAATTGTCTTATAGACACGAGCACGTGTGCCATCCCAGCCTTCAGTTCCGAGAACTGACAATTATTCTCAACAGTCTTTGCTATTGAGCAATGCAGCTGTTATGAAGCATAATAATCTAGATGATACTCATCTGAATGTGTCACCTGGAAGTTCCGAGAGTCTGCATCATGAAGTATGTCCTTTCTTACTTGAAATCTTTCAATTTGTTTGTTAAGATGTTGTGGTCTCATCATATGCATAATGCCCAGCAGCCCGTAATGGAAAAGGTTTCTTTCCCTAACTTATATCATTTTTCAAACAACTAATTGCAGAGTTTCGATGCAAGGGTCCATTCGGATTATCAGATGCCCAACTTGAACTACCCCCCGGAAGATGTACTTGTTCACTCTCTCTCTATCTTCTATTCATCATATTTTCTTTCAGATTTTGTATGCTGACCACAGTACGAAAAATGCTGTTGGTTTACCCTACTTGCCGGATCGTCTCAATAAGATATTACCCAGGATGAGTGATGTTCGAGATGAGGTACGGTCACAGGGTCTTACCATAGTGATAGTTGAATGTTCAGACGGCTCAAGGTCCTAGGAAAGATACTAACATTTATAAAACAATCATTGATTATCTTGTAAAAGTGAGTTTCTTCACTGTTTCTTCCTATATCATATTATCGTTTTCTAGGAAAATGAAGAATATCGCACAGAGGTGGGTAGGTTACAATCAAAGTTGAACGGGCTACAAGGAGAAATAACTACTCTCATGAGGGAGTTATCCAAAATGATCAATGCCTCCGATGATTCTGATTCGAGTCAGGAGACAATAGTTGATGAACAGAAACGGAGAAAGTAAGTTCTACTTCAGTCGAAAGCTTTACAAAATTTATTTGCAGAAAAACTGGTACTAGGAGGAAACGGAAAGAAAAGCTCGGCAGTACCGAAGCTAGTCGTTCTCTTTCACCTGATTCTGTTTTCTCTCCTGCTGATATAAAAACTCGCGGTCCTAGGAGGAAAGTAGGCCCTGGGCGAGCTAAAAAATCTCTTGTTCGTCCTCGAAAACAGGGAAGGCCTCTGCTGAGAAAAAAACAATCACCAGTTCTGGATTATGAAGTCGATACTGAGGACATGAAGTCTATGGTTGAGTTTCATAAGATTGAGGAACCTGTTGTTGTCGAGTCGAAGGTGTGTATACTTTTTTAAACAGCTTTTGACGATTTGTTTTGAGATCAAAAGGACAAGACAACGAAGGAAAAATTCAGATGATGCTCCGGGCGCTGAGGTACGGTGTAGTTTCAATTTATAGTTTTATATCTCTATTAAAGCCTAAGCGTCGACGAATCACATCAAAGCAACGTGATAGCTCTGCAGAAGACAGTGGTATTATCAGCAAAATTGGTGAAATACTGGCTGGAGTAGAACACGAAAGGGATAAGTCACCAGAATTAGGTGAAGGTAAGACTTGAGCATTGTTGACACTTACGTTAGCTCAAATTTTAGATCAACCGAAAACTAGACGATCTAGTCGTCGTACAGTTCGTAATCGTTTCCTTAGTCCCGTTGACGATGTTTTGGCTTTCGATAAGCCTGCCGTTCCATTTCCTGTTCGAACGAGCGAGTTTGAACCAACACCAGGTTTGGAAGAACCTGCAGAAATAAGCCTCACAAGTTCCGTACCTGAGTCGCCAGAACTTTCTCAAACGTAACCTGGAAATTAGGTTGCATATTGAACATCTCGAATATTCAGCGGGTGCTGCTAGTCTTCGCTAGTCCCTACTTTGTATATGTTTTTTGTGATTAGTTTTAAAGTTTTATCAAATTTTTATTTTTCACTACCTACTTAGACCATCTGATATTCCTACTTTACACTTCCACCTTTTGAACATTTCATTCCACTCCTTACTTTTCGAACCTCGTCTATCATCGCAGATCTAAATGTTTTATCATTAGGTTCTTCATTGTTGATTACTGGTTTATAGTATGCCCACAGCACACTATTTTAGGATATTCTAATTTAGTAATCATCGTCTGTTTTATTTTTAGGCTTTATATGGTGTTAATAGGATCTCCCTGAAACTTGTTATGTTTTCGCTTCCGGTCTGCATTTTGGTCACTTTTTAAAGTTTGATGCATGTTCTCAAAACTTTCACCTCATTCTCGAACCTTAGCGATTCCGTCACAGCTGTCATATAATGTGTATAATGGATTCTAAATTCATTCCAATCAGTTTTTTTTGTTCTTTACGTTTGCCATGGTCAAAGTGCCATAGTCATCCCTTTTTTTCATCCCCCATAGCCATCCTATATACTGTCTAGAAGATGAGTGCTGCGCCCGTCAAAATACCAGAGATGTTTTTGCGTGCAATGAAACGTCGCAACGAAAGCACGTTGTCGCCGAAAGCCATTAAAACTTCGTCGTCAGATAACGAAGAGACTGCGCCAAAGGTTTCGTCATACCTATAAATTTCCTTTAACAATCATTTGTTTCAGATGGCAAAAGTAGACCTCCCTGAAAAGACTGAGGAGACAAAGGAAAACTTCTATCAATCATCTTTGCCTGTTCTCAGCCCTGATTCTGCTTTCTCATTGAGAAAGTTGCTTGTTCAGCATTCTTGGATTGAAAAGCTGGGAAGTGAATTTGACAAACCTTATATGAAAGAAATTGAGTCCTTCCTGAAGGCTCAATACGATAAGGTTTCGGTTCATTCTATAGCTAACGACACGGAAGATCATTGTAGAAAGTCAAGATCTTTCCTCCAAAGGAAGAGATATTCTCTGTATTCAACTTGATTCCTCCAAAATCCATTAGAGTTGTTGTCATTGGGCAGGACCCTTATCATAATGATGGCCAAGCTCACGGCTTATCTTTCTCTGTCAAGAAGGGAGTTAAACCTCCTCCATCCCTTGTCAACATCTACAAGGTTTAGTCACATGCATTCACAACTACTAACTTTTTCTTCAGGAGCTAACAGAAGATATTCCCGGTTTTGTAACACCTAATCATGGGTATCTTGTTGGCTGGGCTCAACAAGGAGTATTCATGCTCAATGCGTCACTTACTGTCGAGTAGGAAACCAAAGACTAATCTCCTCTGATCTCCTTTTTAAGAGCTCACAAGGCGAATTCTCATGCTAACATCGGATGGCAGAAATTCACCGATCATGTGATTAAAACTATTTCGAAAGAGACGCAAGGCGTTGTTTTTCTGCTTTGGGGAGGTTTCGCTCAGAAGAAAGAAAGTCTTGTGGACACCAAGAAACATGCTGTAGTTAAGGTGATCTCTAGCATGAATCAGATAACGTAACAGACGGTGTTTAGACCGCTCATCCATCGCCGCTCTCGGTAACGAAATGGAAGGGATGTAGATGCTTTTCAAAAACCAATGATCTCTTGAAGAGTTTCAATAAGAAACCCATCGACTGGAGTAGTCTTTGAATTCTTCCGAACTCCGTTTTCACTCACTCAACTCAGGCTTTAAAGAAACATATCAAACCTGTATAATGCGTGTTTTTCGAATGATACATTCCCAACGTTTACCTGTTTTCCATATTGATCTCACCAGTTGATTAGCTGACGAATATCTTTCATCACCTGTTTGATATGCTTTATTAATATTTTAGCGCTTATGATTTCAAGGAATGGAGCAGGGATGATGCAGTCTAATCAAAGAGTTTTGGGAATTACAAATGCCAGGCGGCCGTATTCATGCGCCGAATGCAGCAAGAACTTCAAAACCAGGGTATTTTCGGAAGACTTTTGGAAACGTTATCTCTTATTCTTAGAGTGACTTAATTTGGCATGCTGAAGTTTGCTTGATTGAAGCGTTTGAGAACGAAGCTCTTTCTGTTCTCTCAGATGTTTCGGCTGTTCGACCTCGATTGGGCATGGGGGTCATGAAGAATGTCGCTCCTGTGGGAATCACCGTCAAGGTATAAAAAGATTTTCTTCCACTATACGGCTTGTTTTTGAAGAGTTTTGATCCTCAGCCAAGACAACAATGGATTAAAATGAAAGTGGGGAGTAATAGTGACAGGCCTAATCTTGTTCCTGTCACCAATGACATAAAACCAAATGAGTTTGATAGGTATGAGTCATCCTCATTTGTCAATCGTATGAATTTTCCTTTAAGGGAAATTACTTATTCTGAACCTCAAACTATCGAGGGTCCTGGTGGCATCCAGTTGATGGTGACAGTAGAGAAAGAAAAAGTGGGATTGTCTTTTCAAAGTTAAAGTATTTTCGGGGATTTTCAGGATAACGATCCTGGTCCACCTGTGTTAGATCCAGAAGTGACCGAAGTCCAATTAGAGCAAACAGAGACCGAAGAAGAAGCTAATCCGGATGAGCTAGAAGGTATTTTTCTATAATATGATAGATGCTCATAGATTACGCTCGGTTATAGATTACACTCCTCTGACCCCTGCCTTCACTGGTATGCATCAAAACCCCCCGCAGGTTATTGGTGCACTTGCGAACGCTAATGATGATCCATATAAGCCGAAAATGGAATGCCCTACATGTGGTCTAGTGAGTGCTTGAAGAGCAACTAATTGAAAAAGTTTTGTTTCCCAGATCCTGTATCGACACAATTTCGCAACTCACTATAGAATTCACACGGGAGAGCTACCATTCGCTTGTGCATATTGCCCAAAAAGATTCAGGTGAGATGAGATCATGGGGATTCTTTTTTTATGAATATTTTCAACAGAACGACATCATCCCTCAAAGTACACACGAGAGCTCATACAGGAGAAAAGCCTTATAATTGCCCCACCTGTTCGTATGCAACAATTACTAAACGAAACCTTGACAGACATGTCTATCACCACCATGTGAAGACGCCTATAATCAAAGGTCCTGTAACAAGAAGAAGTAGGTACAGGGAAACAGAAGAAATGGATTGGATTGATATCAGTCAAACCAACTATGCCAAGGATGATCATCATTATCAAGACCCTCAGCCAATGGAAGAAGCAAGTCTATTATGCTAGTTGAATTCATTTCATCTCTTCCTCTGTTGCAGATTCCAAAAAAGCGTCCGCAATTCCAAGGAGTTAAAGACGACAAAGCTCAATGACCTCAATAATTCCAAAACGGTGATGTTGTGATATATTAAAGTGCTTTAAAAGTTGCCAAATTGTATTTTTCTACACTAATATATGTTTGTAAATATATGAAAACGAATAATATTATTTTGTTATAAACATTTTTTTTGCAATATGTTCGGCACACCGCATCCTGCTTGATTCTGTAAAAAAGGATTTAATTGTCAACAAATTTAGAAAGAGGGAGAGTGATTATGAAAAGAATTTTATTTGTGGCTGAGAAGAATGATGTTGCCAAAGGAGTTGCAGCCATTCTCTCACGAGGTTTTCATTCAAACACGAAAGCTTCTTTTAATTTTCTTTAAATCAGGGCAAATGAACCGGAGAGAGGGAAAATCAAAATTTAATAAAATTTATGAATTGCACACGAATATCTTGGGTCAAGTTAGTTGATGCGAATTGAGACTCACAAGTTTACTGTTTCTATAGCAAGCCAGACTCTCCATAACTAGTGTTTCTGGACATCTCATGGAATGGCAGTTTGGGCCAGAAATGAAAGACTGGCAGGTTTCCGTCAAAAACCATACCCTGGATCTTAACTCTTCTCCTAGAATGTTCCTATCGGGAATCTATTCGAAGCTCCTATTCACCATACTGTTAATGAAAACATGAAACCGATTGCTCAGACTTTACAGTTCAAAAAATGATCAATCCAAGTATCAACGAAAGCTTTTCAGAGAAGAAGCACGGAAGTGTGACGTGCTCGTTATTTGGACAGATTGTGATAGAGAAGGAGAAAACATAGGAGCGGAAATAGTGAAGACCTGCATGCTAGGCAATAGGAACTTGGATGTTTTTCGAGCGAAGTCAGCAACCTCAGAGATATCCATACCCTCTATTTTTTCAGATTTTCCGAGATTACCCCTCAAGCAATAGAAAACGCCACAAGAACCCTAACCCGATTAGATAGAAATATAGTTGAAGCAGTCGATTGTAGACAGGAGCTTGATCTTAGGATCGGAGCAGCGTTCACAAGGCTTCAAACTTTGCATTTGAGGCAGAAGTTTGCTCATATTCTCGGAGATAGTCAGTTATTCCTTGATCCTGTGAAAGACAGCTGTTTCTAGACAAGCAAGTTATCAGTTATGGTAGTTGTCAGTTTCCTACTCTGGGTTTTGTGGTGGAAAGGTATAAAGCTATCCAGCAGTTCATATCAGAAGCTTTCTGGAAATTGAGTGTTGAGCACAACAGACAAGGATTGAAAGTCTGATAAAGGAGGGAAACAAATTTTAATTTCCTTGTTTAGGCCGACTTTCATTGGAATAGAAATCGCATATTTGATCGGGACATTGTTAATGTTTGTTTGTTTTTGTTTAAATTGCAAGTTATCTCTTCTACAGGTCTTATATGATGATTGTAAAGATGCTTCATCTGCAAAGATTCAAAATATTGACAGAAAACCGAAGTCGAAGTATCGACCTTATGTATGAAAACAAACTAATACCCAGTTCAACCAATGTTGTTTGAGGCTCTCGATACAGTAGAGTTGGAAAAGCTGGCTGTTCGAAAATTGAAGATCAGTGCGAAAACGGCCATGACAATCGCTGAAAAATTGTATAGTAAAGGGTGGATCTCCTATCCAAGGTACGAACGATACGTTAAGGAATACGCTCTCAAATCCTTCTTTAGAACAGAAACAAACAAGTTTCCCCCAGATATCAACCTGGGAAATTTGGTTCAATCACAGATCCCCTCTAGCGACTGGGGAAGTTTTGCTAATGAGGTTTCTTGAAAAAAATTGTTTGTTTCTCACCCCTCTATTTCATCACAGGTTCTTGAGAAAGGCCCCAATCCTCGTAATGGAAACAAAAGTGACGAAGCTCACCCTCCCATCCATCCGCTGAAATTTGCTACGAGGTATTCTTGATCATACTTCTTTCGTGAGCTCTCTCTTTCTGACAGGAGTCAATTAGACGGCAACGATTGGAGACTGTATGAACTTGTGGTCCGACACTTCTTAGCTTGTGTATCCTGGGACGCGAAAGGTTTTGAAACAAAATGCGAAGTAAGACAGTAGTGAATCTTCAGTTAATCTCCTGATTCGTTTTCAGTTACAACTTGGAAGCGAATACTTCACTGCAACCGGCTTGCAGGTTAACGACTTAGGTAATAGAATCAGTCTCATCGAATCTAATCTGATGCATAGGATACATGAGAGTTTATGTTTATGACAAATGGAGTGACAAAGCAATTCCAACATATGTAGAAGGCGAAGAATTGAGAGATTACTTGTTGAAGATAACAGACGGTCACACTGAACCTCCGCAATTACTCAATGAAGGTTTGTCCCAACTAAAGACAGTACAGAACACTCACTTCAGCTGACTTGATTTCTCTTATGGACAAGTTCGGTATTGGTACTGATGCTACCCACGCCGAACATATTGAGAAAATCAAAGTATGACTTCTCTCTTTTTGATTGTATGTGTGGTTTTCAGGAAAGACAGTACGTTGGAGTTCGGGAAGATGGAAGATTCATTCCCGGTTTCCTTGGATTAGCCTTAGTGGATGGCTATGATGAAATGGGTAATTTCTATTTAGAAGTACAATACCAATCTTGTTTAGGATATGCCATGAGTAAACCACAGTTGAGAGCGGATCTGGAACGACAGCTTCAAGTAACGTTCACTACGCTTTCTGTTTTCTGATTAACTAATTCAGGAAATTTGTGCGGGGAGAAGAACCAGAGAACAGGTCATAACTGAGCAAAAAAGCAAATACAAGAGAATATTCGAACATGCGGAGGCGCATGTTAGTTTACTTTCAATTGCTTTGTCCAAGTAAGACTTTCTAGGGTTCAGTCTGATACTATTTTGAATTTAGATATCTGACTCATAACCCTAATGCTGCTAATAATATATCAGTTAATACCTCACGTCCTACCAGAGGGTCAGAAAGGGGAGGACGTGGTGGTGGAAGAGGAGGTAGAGGTGGAGCACGAGCTCCTGAAGTTGCTCAAGTAGGGACGGTTTGCAATTTTACTTTATTTTTTTCAAAATACAGATTCCCAATCATAATATTCCCGCTACTCGTCCTAGAGGACGTCCAAAAACAACAAGAGGAACAAATGCAGTTTCAGCCAACACGGGAAGTGGATTAACGCGAGGGCGAGGTTTTCGTAATTACTTTGAATTTTCTTGAAAGCAATTATTTATTTAGCCGTACCTCCTGGAGAACAACCTTTAGCTCTAGCAGGAGCTGCTAAAGTATGTTTATGTGGAATGGAAGCTGTACAGAAGACTGTTAATAAGGAAGGAGCTAATAAGGGTCGACAGTTTTGGTCTTGTCCTAAGCCGTTTGGTCAGGCGGACAAATGTAACTTTTTCGAATGGGCCAGCTAGACTTTCAAGATATCTCATGTCTGTGAATTGATCTCTAATATTAACTTTTTTTAATAAATCCAAATACGAGAGAAATATGCTAAATGGCCAATGAAAAAAACCTTTCATCAGAATCTAGATCAGGGCGTGGTCCTCTGTATATTTGCTTTCAGACGTACCAGTCGAATAAAATTGAACAGGAAGAGGCTGAGGCTAGTATTTCTTCAGTTCTTTCTGAATATTTGTTCTTTTGATTATACATCGCACATAGCCCATCATTCGACTTCAGGTCATGTTATTATTACATTTAGGGTTCCTTTTAGCTTTTGCAATCCAAATAGTATGTGAGTGATTGTGCTTCCTTCATGTTATGTTAAAACATTGTTGTCCAATCATCTTTTTAAATTTATGTGTTCATCGATAACGATACAAGGAGTGTGTATATATGTGTGTGTCTGTGATCAACAGCTTATTCCTTTCAGAAACAGAGGTTTATCAATTCATAACTAGCCATATTTGTACAGTTGAGAACTACTCATTCAATCGATAGCAGCCACCGGCCTTGCATTCAACCTTGGTCATACTCAACCTGATCGTTCATTGTTATTCCTCCTTTAACTTTATGTGTCAAGTTGTCTTTTGAATAGCGTTCAATATATGATTTGTGCTGAATTATTCTTTACTGTTTTTTGTTACAAGTTGTCGTCTTATCAAGTTTCACATCTGACTTTCACCTACTTTTCTTTAAAGTGCTACTTTCAGAAGATGAATGATCAAAGTTTTGATGAATCGTCTTTCAATCCTGACGACAGTATTGTAAGTTTTTTTGTCAAATTGAACATATCAATTCTCTTTTATACAGCTAAGCAAAAGAGGCTATGTTAAAGACAGTTTGAATCTCATAGGGGAGAAGAAGGAACGTCTGAAAGAGGCGATGAAGACAGTCTCCGAGGCTGAGCAGGTAAACTTGCAATCGATAACATCTCATCATGACTCATTAACAGCCTGACCTCGAGCTCATGAGCAAGCTTTTGGCAGCTTATGATAGTATGACAAAACAAGAAAATCAGTATTTGGAAGTAATGAAGAGTATTGTGGTATTTGCATTTCGAATCACGTAATTTCTATCGACCAGTGTTAAGGTCATCCATGAGCATGCTGTGGAAGATGTTGCCAAAGATCTTGCTATTTCTAAATCTGAAGTTCCTGCTTTACCTGAAGTTAATAATATTATTCCAAAATCGGATAAGCCAGCTGAAAATCCAGGTTGGGACATTGCTTGTTTGCGTTTTCATTTAAGGTCTTGGTTTCAGCAACTGATACCGATATCCAAGAACTCGTTGAAACTTTAAAAGAAATTCATGAAGTCTCGAAACAAACAGCTTTGGCTGCTCAAGTTAACGAGCAATTACAAGAGAGACTTAATCTTCATAAGAAGAAGGTTCGTCTGATTTTTTGATTTATTTCATTTTTTTGTCTTGTGCATGTTGTTCCCTTACTATCGTGAGCTCATTCAAATCATTATATTCTCATTCTGTCCAGCTGTTGAAAAGGCCTTATGGATTCTCGTCTGGTCATCGTATCCTTGCAAGCTATTCATGAATTTATTGCGTGCGGCTCAATATACAAGTCTCCTGTATTCATCTAGTTAACTATTTCTTCACCCTCTCCTCTCTCCTCTGTCTCTATTTCTATCTCCCTTGTTCGATCTTTCCATAACATTGCGGTTAACGTAAAAGCGAACAAAACGAGAGCAGACTGCGAAGTTCAAAAATGAACTGAGGAACTTTCCTTGACTTATTTACTTCGAGAAAAAAAGTCTAAAAATTCATCATAATTCATTCAAATCCATTATGGACTGAAACGCCAATGAATTAGAAATGAATTATAACTGACTTGGAACGCTTGTTTGTAGAAGCTTTTTTGAAAGCTTTATACAAGTCAGTCAGTCAGTCAGTCCGTAAAGAAAGATTGAAAACGAGAAAACTTTCGCTTTCAATTAAGATACCAAGAATAGCGTCCTCATATATGGTCTCTATAAATATCACAATTAAAGTATTACAACCGCTCTTCACGTCCACATTCCATGAAATGAATCTTTTCGTTTGAGCATCACTAAGCTACTTGTTATGCGTGGGCTTCTAATCAAATGGCGCCATTTCATTATTTCAAAATATTATCAATTATAGAAAGCAAATCTTCAAGAGATTAGAAGAGATAAAGCTAAAGAGCTTCAACAGAAATCAAGTGAAACAATGACAACAGTCGAATTGACGAAGAAGAAAAGTATGTTTCTGGTAGCTTTGCTGTTTGATTCATGATTCTCCATGTGTTTACAGTTGAAAATGAGAGAAATTCAAAAAAACATTTGGAAAAAGAACTTGACAGATTACGTAAAGCTGCCCTTCAAAAAGGAATTGAATTGGGCATTGTTGAAGATCAGATGGTAGCCGATTTGTTATATGTTATCTTGTCATCTGGATTATATACTTTTCAGAAAGATGCAGCCATCAAAGCTATTAGTCATCTAACAGATGAAGCACATCGCATTCCTCCAACAACTGATGAAACGCCAGAAGAGCGTGATGAGAAGGTACGTAGACACATCTATACATACATACATACATACAAGGGATTATTAGAAATGAATAGAAAACAACTAACATATGATATGATTTTGATTGCGCACACAAAAATTTTGCAGATATATGAGTATGTTATGAATGGTTTACTTGAGCTGCAAATGGCTTATGTAGAGGAAAATTATCAGCCTGATCTTGAAATGTATAAACACTGTAGATATTGTTAGAAATACGCACAATAACCATTCATATAATATCTTTTATTATTCAAAATAATGAATAAAGCATTCATCATCATCATAGCCTTACTGTTTCAGCCGGAACTTACGGAAGAGGAAAAGCTGGAACAACGACGTATCGAAATTCGTGAGAATGTTCGTAAAGAACGTGAAAGGTATGTATATTACTTATATTATTAGTAACATTTCAATTCATCAACCCCTCACTTTAACTTATATATCTATAGATGTGTGTATTTGAGTGAGTGTATTGAAATGTTCCCCTTCTCTCTTCTTCTTCTTCATCTTCTCCTTCTTCTCCTCTCTTCCAGAAATCGGTGTATAGCGAAGAGAAAGAGAAAGAGAGACCTTAATAAAATCTAAATTGTATTCATTTTGCATTTTGGTCAGCTGTTGCATCGTAAGTCAGCGAGCCAAACAGCGTTAATGAACAGCATGGCTATGATCTGTTGACCTGCTTTAAACTAAACTTTAAGATGATTCCACAATATATCAAATATATTCAAAAAGTCACTAATTTTGATTCATAATGATGAATTATGGAGTTGTGTGATGATGCCATGATGAGCGGAAGTTCACGAGCCCTCGAATCATATCTTCTGATGAGGTAGATGATGGCTGAGTCGATTGATCAAAGTAAAATTTGATACGATAGATTTCGTTTTGGATTCCTTGTTCGTCTGTTGAACGTCTTCAATATAATATGCGAAAGGTCAGCTGCTGTTTGACCGAAAAGCGCACCTGATTGTCGGCATATCGCCTTACCGTCTTTTAAGAAAAGTTGTCAAAGACGGAAGCAAAAGTTTATCCGAGATAGAGAGAGAGAGAGGGAGAGAGGGAGAGGGAGAGAGAGAGATTTGTGTATTTCTTTTTTCGTTCCATCAATACAAAAACCGATTAGATTTCATATTCAATTCTACTGTACAGCTGGTTGATTCTGATTCTTTGACGACGACGACGAGCAATTCGAAAATAGTTTTTGTTCCAAAATTTAAATAGCAAATAATCATATTGAAATCAAACAATTATCGAAGAACAGCTATTTTGAAAGATGTGTGTATCGTTCAGAAAGTGTTTAGAAAACAGACGATGAAGACGACGAAGAAGATGAGAATGAGAGTGTACAAGATGGTGGAGTAATGACTAAAGACAAAGTGTTTATGAGAGATAGTAGAGAGAAGAGAATGATCTGAGGCTTTGTTCAATCGATTGAGTCATATCGCCTAAGTCTTCTGGAATCTGTGCACATGTTCTTCTGTAAACTTGCCATGAATCAACTTCTAATTCTTCCATCCAAACTATCATTTACTTTATCAATGTTGTTATTATAGAAAGGAACAAGTTAATCAGTTAATTCGTGAAAAATTGCTTGCTTTTGAAGCTCGGAAAGAACGGGTCAGACAGCTGCGAGAGATGTTAGAGTTCACTAGTAAGTTCTCAATGATCATGTTTCTATTTCATAACATCATTTAAGACAAGCAAGTTATTGCTCAAGTACACACAGAGAAGTTGAAAGCTGAAGCTGAAGCTGCTGGACAAGCTGCTGCTGAATCTGCAGAACAAGCTAAAGAAGTCGTTCCCGAAAAATTGTCTGACAAAACAGAAATTTCTAATGCTTCATCGGAAGTCAAAGAGAACCCTAATGTTGAGCCAACAGCTGAAGAACCTGCGAAAGCTGTTACCGAAGAGAAAGCTTCTCCAGCAGAAGTTCAACCATCTGCCGTTGAAGAAGTAAAAGAAACATCTGAAACAGACGACCTGCCAAAGATTGACGACGAACAACAAGACACATTAGCGAATGAAGAGGATCCAGAAAACAACTTCGATAACCTGACAGAAGAAGAACGTCATGCGATGGAGCAAGCACAGAAAGAGCTGAATGAAACACTGCGTAACGCAACAATGAATCTTCAGTAAGTTATTTTGACAAATACATTTCAAATAACAACTCGCCTAAGACATTAAATCATTTTATTTGTCATAAAATTGAAATCAGTTGCTTTGAAGCTGTTAGTTAGTAGCTTGAGCTTCATCTAGCTGAACCCCTCTTCCGTTCCTCTTTCTGTCTTTTCACTATCTCTTCATCGTTTAATAAGCAAGCATGAGAAGTTTTCATAATTTGCGAACGTAAGTTCCAATATCCAGACACATAGCTCAACCATTCAATAGCTCTTCAATTCAATTCATCTCATTCTATGTCTTCTTCAGGAATCTACAGTTGATGCGAATGCGATTAGAGGACTTACACAGTCGTGGAGGAGATCTATCTGCTGAAGAAGCTCATTTCATTGAAATGCTCGAAGATACCTTGCCACCATCATTAGATGATCTGAAGATAGTACAAGAGGGAGATGAAGTCGATGAAGTAGATGACGATAAGCCACCTCCACCACCAACCTCATCACCTCCAGCAAGTCCCGTCGAAACAGAGGTTCGTAGAAACATAACTCGTTTTTAAGCTTGGTTTACATACATGTGTGCCTGATGTGATAAGCATGACATTCATCATCTTTCATATTCTGATTGTTCTGATACTTAGATATATTACTTCTACTTCATATTATTGTTTTTTCCATGAAAAAGCCGTCGCTCCGTCTTCCGTTTTCAAATTTTTTTTTTATTTTTTAGAGAAAAAAGATTTTATTTTCTGATATATTCATTGTGATAGATAACATAACATATCGTCTGTGACAAACTACTAAATGCATGTCTTTTATCTGTGATTTTATGATAAAGTGCTGTGATGAATTGACTGATTTCATACTCATATTGCATGCTCATCTGATGTCTTCATCTCAATCTAACATCTCCAATCATCATCCTCCTCCTCCTCATCATCATCATCATCTTCTTCTTCTTCTTCTGAATACAGAAAGATAGTCTTCTGTTTCTTGTTCATATCAATCGTTTACAACCTTTCCCTCTTCATTCGTCTTCTTTCATCCCCCCTCTCTCCTTTCTCGACTTTCCTTATTTCTTTCCTTTTCTTACCACCCTCCTCAAATCTTCTTGCGTCCCTCTCTAGAACACAATCTCTCTCTCTCTCTCTCTATATCTTTCTGCAGCTGCTAGCTCTCCATATCGATATGTGTTATAAAAGGGAAATGAAAGCTTTCGTTGCGCTTTCCATACATTTCCAATACAAAAAGGTTTGCTTCCTTTCATTTAGTGAATGCAGTAAGATATCAGGGAATTATACCATTTGGCTTCATGCAAGAGAATGAGATAGAGAGTGAGAGATAGAGAGAGAGTAAGATGTATAAGGTGAAGGAGTGAGAGATATGAAATGGCAAGTGTAAGAGAGAGAGGAAGCAATGCATAGAGTGAAGGAATAGAGTATAAGAAATTACAAAAGGTTGCTTAAAAGCTCTTTGAATAATAAAATGAATTTCCTTCTCTCCCCCTCTCTCCCTGTCTCTCTTCAGCACCTGTTTGATTTCGTTCAAATGATATTTAGTGGCAAAAACGAAATTGTAATTGTAGTAAAAGCTGGACTATATCTTTGGTAAGATGTAAGCTTTGAAAGCTGTTGTCAAGGTGATAATCGGCTGCTTAACGATTGGCCACATCGTCAAAGTTGTTATAATATAAATGAAAATATCACCTGCTGACAACTGAAAAATGAATGAAATATCTTATGATTAATTAACATATTCGGCTGACTGAAGCTTAATTTGAATATTTCATTTGTTGGCAACGATCTACGTGAACGTCGTCGTAACGGATCTGTCGTTGTACCCCTCTCTCTTAGGTGAGTGAGCAATCAGTGTCATTTGGTGTTTTCGAAAACGAACAGATCGGTTGATTTCTTATTGCTCATACTCATGTCGCTTGCCTCCTCCACTCTCTCTCTCTCTCTCTCTCTCTCTCTCTCTCTCTCTCTCTCTCTATCTATCCATCTCTCTCTCTCTGTATCTATCCATTTCCCTCTGTTCTCTTTATATTTTTGTATAGATAATTGAGGACATCTTTCGTATGTGCTAGAGAAAAGACTAGCTTATTTCCATATAAAGTTATTGTAGTCTTGCTCAGTTTGGCAGTGAAAAAGAAGGAAAATTTTCACAAATAAAAGCCATCTAATTAGCATTGTGGGCAAAACGGGAAATATGCTCAAGTTATGATTCAGACACGCACGCACACACACACACACTCACTCACTCATATTCACCCATAGTCAAGACGTAAGAGATGTGATTGAACCAGCTCATTAGCTTCTAGAGTAACGAAAGGTGTGTGAATATGAGCTGAGACTGGAAATAATCAGATCGACACGATGTATATTCCCATCTGAAAGTATGATTGGTTGTACGAAGAGAGAGAGAGGGAGAGAGTTGTTTTTTTCATTTTATAAAGTTGATTAGAAGGTTTATCTGTCTTGTCTTTACATCATCATCATCATCTTATCCTTCCCTCCCTTCAGTCTTCTTCTCTCTATCACTCTCTCATATTCATATAGTCTCTGTTAGCTTATCTGCATTTGTAACCTTCTATATTGAATACTCATCCACCCTCTATGTTTTTCCTTTTTGTCTTTAAGATGAAGCTGAGTAAAGCTAGTAATCTTTTATCTTTGCAAGTAAGTCTTCTATTAACATAACTATTAATAGATAATCATATAGACTTACTTTAAAGGCCATAACACGACATTCAATATGAATAAAGAAGAAGCTTCAATGCTTTTTCACATTCAAAATGCTTCAAGTTTTCTGAAAGTACAGGAATTGCGACAAATTGCTCATTTCCAGTTGAATGAATTTTTAGATTTTTGAGATTGAGAAAAAAAAAACTTTTTTTTTTCCAATTCTCTCGATCTGTCTCTGAAGCTCTCTCCCACCCTCTCTCTCTCTCTGAATCTCTCGGATCTTTCACCACATTCATAGCTATCTCTCTTGGTTTCTTTCTCTCTTTCTCTATTCAGTGGGATTTGTGGTCTTCTCTCAAGCCTCTCTTAAAGCTAATATCTCTTTCTGGATATTCAGAAGGCACCTTCTCCCCCCCTCTCTCTCTCTCTCTCTCCCTCTCTTTCATTCTCATTTGCAATTTACTCTCTTAACATATGGAATTTTATTGAAAAATTATTCAATTGTTGGCTTAATATCTTATGCTTAAATACATGGATAGCTAATACAGATGGTTAGGTTTGAATTGAATTGAACTTTTCAATTGTTGGCTCCTCTTTTGATTAGTTTTATTCTGAGCTTTTCAACTAATTAACATGATGAAAATTAGAAATTTCCCTCAAACATTCCAGTTTCTGCGTCATGCTCGTCTTCTCTCAAGCTTTTGCCTTTCTAAGCTTGGAGATTTTGCTTTGTTTTTACTATTCATCCTCTCTCTCATACTCTTCATCTCGCTGTCTTCACTAACAAACTATACAATACAACCTCACGTGACAGTTCACAGTTTCACTTTTCACATTTTCAGATTGAAGATATCGTTCGTCAGAAATTCGTCTCAGCCTTTAAGCTTAAGTCAGCCAGATCACTCCTAGATTCATTTTCTCCTGTTGATTCTGCAAAAGAACAGAAACCTTCTATCACCAACTTACAACTCGATCGAATGGAAGTGCTACTTCGACAACAAATGAATGATATTGGACAAATCAGAGAAATGGTTAGTACGATGTTTTTGTCTTACTGCCCCAGCTGCTATAACCTTCCCATAGCAGAACACCTTTCCGCCCTTCTACTAACGAACACTGTGTTCACTCATCCTCCTGTGGGTAGGGGGAATCATACCATACGCGGTGGGGAGGAAGAGGAGCTTATATGATCCAAGCATTGCAGAATCATCTTCATACCAATGCGTCTAAGGTTATTTACATTAAAATAATAAGTGAAAACACAATAAATTAAGTGTTTATAAGAATTTTTATAAACAGGAGAAGCCGTTTTATACAAATTCGCAGTTTGAAAGTTGTCGTCTGATGAAAAATTCTATGAATTGCGACTCTTTTTGTTTCCCCCTTCCTCCCTCCCTTCGTTCTCAGAGAAATTCTCTTTGCATTCCTCATCTTCATCATCTTCATCTTCTTTTTCTTCATTTGTATGAAAAAAAAGAAGTTTTATGCTTTACAATCTGCCTTTTCTCATTTCCGTTAAGTATTTTTTCTGACTTTTTCATTTTTCTCGTTGTTGGCATTGATGACGATGATGATGATGATGGCAAACGAAAAAAAAATTAATTAGAAAAGTTTTTTTATTATTCAATACAAATGGTCGCCAGATGTCTCTTACTTGCCTACTTACTACTTTAGTTGTACTCTGGTTGTCATTGCCTAATGGCTTCTTCTACCATACCGTCACTCTCTTACTCCATTTCTTACGACCTCTATCTCTTTATCTCTCCTCTGTTTCCTTTTTTCTTTTTCGCTTCTATTACCCAACAGTCACAGAAATCTGTTGGCTCGCCTCTATATAGAGTCTCTTTGATAAAGCCGCTTCAAAACTCATTTGCTCTTTCGTCACTGATGGCTTTTCTGCCATTTTTGAGAATTTGTTCTCAGTTCTCTCTCTCTCTCTCTCCTCAGTTCATATTTCGTTCTTTCTTCCATATTTATCTATCTTAGCTTCTTTTATCCATCTGGTAGAAGATGCAGTTACCATAGGTGACAAGCAAATTAACTTCCGAAGATTTGATATATCGATTAAAAGGCGGGACCCAAAGGTGGGAGGAGAAGCCAAGCTGGGAGCTCCAAAGTAGGCGTGGCTATAGGAGGCCAGCAGCAACAGCAGTCGTTCGTCTAAGCTGTCTGGTATTCATCAGTTGTGTCCATTTGATCAGTCCATTCATATAAGTTGTCTCTTTCCTCCTTCCCCTCCTTCTTTTCGGTCTTTTGCTCTCTCTTCTCCTTTTTCGCTTTTTCACTTTCTTTTCTCTCTCGTAGTCTTCCATTTCATAAAATATGCTTATTTTATCTGAAATTGATGGTAATATTCGAGAAAAGAATAGTTAATGATTAACTATGTGAATTGAATATTTAATTTGAAGATAATTGGGAGTTTATCTCGGCTTTAAGCTTATCCTTAGAGTTCATTGTCTTTGTGTCTGCAGAAGACTATGAATAGCTTTTGTTGAGTGAAGTCATCAAGCTTTCATACATCTTCTTGGTCTTCCCCCAGCTTATTTCTCATTTGAGACTTGAGAAGACGTCCTAAAAGTTTCTGATTCTATCTTCAAATGGATGAATATTCTTTTAGATCATCTTGTTCAGCTTCTTTTCTCTCCCTCAAGCTTTTTCGTGCATTTTATAGAAACTTTCCGGAGTATTTTTTGCTTTATGTATGTATGGCTGAGCGTCTGATGCCCTGAGGCTATTGAGAATGGTCATGACTACTGGCCATGCCTTCAGGCGGCTCGAGTTGGAATCGAGCTGAAGTAAGCTTGCGCTTTATGCTTTCTTTGATCTCTCATTTCGATATTTGTTAAACATTCCCTTTTCTCTCTTTATCTTTCTGTACTACTCTCAAAGTCCCTGTCTCCTTTCTCTTTCTCTCTCTCTTTCAATTCATGGTGCAAAAGAATTTTCAGTCATTTTCCCCCGGAAATCAATGTGCTGTCTCTCAGACTGAATTGGCTTCATTTTGATGGCATTGGGGGCCTCTCTCTGACCGGACATCTTTCACGAACGACAAAAACAAAAACGTCATGTCCGTGTTCGCTGTGAGAAAACTAAGAAAAAAATAATTCGTATTAAAACAGCTCATCCTCGGATTTTCGCAAATTTCTCTTAGAGAAGCTTCCTTCAGTTTTTTGTGTTGGTTGAAAGCTTATAAAGCGGGAAAGCTGAAGCAAAATCCGTGTTCTTCCACTTACGTTGTCTTCCATTGGCTTTGACTGCTTGTGTCCTCGTTTCACTTACATTCTATCCAAACGAGCTTTTCTCTATTTATCTCTCTCTCCCTCTCTCTCTCCCTCTCTCCCTCTCTCTTTCTTCTTCTTTAGAATTCATTCTCTCCATTTCATGTCTTTCTGCTCAGCAATAACGCTACTGGCTCCATTCAGGATGTCGCAGCCATGCTGCTCCGCTCAGTTTAGTTTCAGCTAATGCTCGAACACACATGATCATCATCAGCAAAGTCCATTTTGTTATTTTTGAATTATATTAAAGGACAAAAAGTGATGAAAACGAATCAAATTGAGCTTTCAGAGTTTCATGAACATAAATGGAAGAGAGAGCATAAAAAATGAAAGAAGAGAGGGGGATTGATAGAGAGAGGGAGAGAGGGAGGGAAAGGGGACTGAAAGCAACGGCACCACCCAACACAGGAGACAATTTATTGTTTCATTTTTAACAATATGCTATCATTTTTTTCGCAATTCATACCAATGATGTGTGAATATCTCATGGATCTCACAGCCCACATAACAGTTTCGTTTTATTATTACCAAGCTTCCTATTTGAAACTTGTACTTAAGCTTCTTCCTTTGCTAGTCTTCAGACAGCTAATTCCTTGCCAGCTCATCGTTGCTGAGAAGACTAGAAAGAGAACGAAGAAGAAGAAGAAGAAGAAGAAGGAGCGGTTATCGTTGGCTCCTGGTAGTTGTCCCTTGGCTTCTTCTTCTTCTCATCGTTTTTCATTCCCTCCTTTTCTTAGCCTCTCCCTCCTTCCCTCCCTCTCTTTTTCTCTCTTCATCTTCCTTTTGCTCCAAATTTAAAACCAAACACATTCCAGTCACTTAACATACTCCCTCTCCCCCCCCCAACACACACACACACACACACATACACACACATACAAAGACCTATTACTATATAAACTAATATTTCCTTATAATACTTAACCATTCTAAACTATATTCTATATTTTTTCCTCTTTGAGGTTTGTCCGGCTGCTTCTAATCTATCCATTACTAAATCAGCTTTACTTCGTGCTTCATCAAGCTTGCTCAGCTCACTAGCTGATGTGTTAAGCCAGATGGCTTCTGGCCAACATACATCTGCTCGTGAATTGGATAATTTGCTAATTCAACTTTATCAAGCTGATAGTACTGTAATATCAAACACATCACCACAGGTACAAACTATTGATTGATTTATTTATTATATTTAGTCATCGTCATTCATATTAAGCATCATTAACGTTTTCTTGTTTAATTGTAGTTTTAGCTTAGCTAAGAGAATGTCTTGTAGTTCATTATGTGTCTCGAAACGAAAAGAATGAACAACTTTTTTTTTCAGAATAAAATTTCTCTTTTGTCATTTTGTTCTGAGCCAATTCTCTTTCCTCGGTTTGTCCGCTTCTCCTTTACTTGCTTACCCTCTCTCCCTCTCTCTCTCTCTTTATATATATATATCTTTACATGTTTTCTTTCCTCTCTTCATATTTTCCCCCTTTCTACTCATACTCACTCTCTCTCTCTCTATTCAGACCTTTTTACGAACTTTTCGTTAAATTTTTGAGCGCCTCGCCAGTTAAGTGAATGCTTTGCCACAGTCTTAGATATAGTAAGCTGGGCTTAGGTTCGCTTAGGCTGGAGAGAGTAGCATTAGCGTTTAACATCAGCTTTTGTCCTCTTTTAACAAAAACAAAAATAGAAATCTTCCTTTTTCTTTTCTTTATCAGTTTTTCAGCTTTTCTTCTGTTTTCAAAATATAAGAAACCGACTGATCTTCATGGCCTGAAGCTCATTTTGAGATTTTCGAATGCATTTACCTTCAAATTTATTTTTTCGATCAATGCTTTTGGTGCTCAATTTATCTCATCGAAATGCCGACAAATTTGTGCAGAAAGAAAAAAGTGTCTTTTCCCCCTTCAACTGCTCTTATTTGTGAGGGGGACAACACACATCGATTGCCTTTGCTCCTGACCACCAGGCATGAAGCTGCTTCTACACATGATACCCCTGGCTGTGTCTTCTACTGAGGAGCAGGGCGTAATTCAGTTTTTAATTTCCTCTTAGGCTGTTTGTGGGTTTTATTGACGAAAAGAGACAGACTCTTCATCATCTTTCTCTGTCCAACTTATCGTCAGCTTGAAACTTTCAAGTATCGATGACTTTACAATGGAACGCGATGACAAGTTAGAAATGCAGATTTATCTTTGATAGCAATTCATGCACAAGATGGAAAAGCCAAATGGAATGAAAAGCACTACCGCTCTATTAGCTGACAATCATGGAAATGAAAGTTGTGCGCAACCGCTCAGCACGTTGGCGAAATGGCGAATGAAAATTGGTTGCTAGAATTTTCACGTCAGTTTCACGTGGAACTTTGGATGTTAATGTGGAGTACGAGCAGAAGAGACGCGGAGTCCTCCTTCTCTACATCCATAATGAGAATTCTGTTGAGAGAGACGAAGAAGAAGAAGAAGAGAAAAAGAGTTGTTTGTTTCATTCGTTGTTGTTGTTTTGTTTCGAGATGTATAGTCTAACACAATTTATATGTATAGTTAGACATCTTTATACTGTATAATATATATAGACAGAGCATATCTATAGTAGTTTTTGTTGCTTTTGCTGCCTGCGAGACTGCTGCTGCTGCAAAAATTCATTAAAATCCGATTAGCTATATACATAACTTATCCGATTATTTCAATATTTTCTATTATTATAATGATTAGAATGTAGTATTGCATGGCTTCATTTGAGCCCCTGATTTGCTTCTCTCTAAGCTCCTTTCTATCTGTTGCTATGACAATATTTTCCATGAAAAATTGTATAGATTATTGAAAAGAATTATAAATATAGTTTTAACATTAGCTATTCTGCTTAATTATAGAGAATTAATTATTTAATTGATATTGAAAAGTACGCAATTCCGCGTATTTATAACATATGTCATTTATGATTGCTCTACATGCCATAGACATATACGAATACTTACTTATCAATTTATAATATTATTAGAAGATTATATATTATTTTGAATATTCAGGAGACTACTAATCATCCGATTGTTAAAGCTCCCAAAGGTGTGCTGATTCATTCACAGGTAGGCAGAAGAGTTGTGATCTGTAGAGTAATGAGTTAGAGCGCATTGACGTAAATCCAATCGAGTTTGCATCCTTCCTTCAGTACTGACAGTTGTATTAGGCGCGTTCTCTGTTCTATAGCAAGTGAACACACACACATTTCTTCGAAACAATTTGTGAAATGAGATGAAATTGTTTCGAAATTTTCGAAAAGTTTTCTGTGAAAGTTGAAAGTGAACCGTTGATGGCTATAGACAGTTGTTTTACGTCAAAATGAAGAAGATGACTAGGCGTAATCAGCAGTGACGACACTGTTCCCAAGCTCATCTATCTGAGACTTTCATTTCGTTTTGTTGTAATAGAACATATTGGACGACAATGATTGTGAGTTTCAGCAAAGAATTAAGCCAGATGGGATAATTTCTTTTGAGGGTCTTGGGTTTAAAAGGAAGAATTGCATTGGCATTGCTCTTTGTTGAGAAAATAGGGTGAATGATTTGAGCGAATGCAAGATAATTGAAATCTGAAATTGGCAAAAGATTGTTTTGTTTCACAAAAGTTTGAATATCTTTGCTAATGAATGCTATGAAGAAATCTCGTTGAACAATAATATAATTCCTTTCCCCTAAATTGGTGCTAAGGAAGTTCCTGTTCTATGGAACGCACGTATTGTTTAACCTTAGCATGACATTTGTGAACTTTTGAATTCTTTTCTTTTTAACAAGGATAGAGAGAGTCATAGTTAGATGAGAGATGTGGATCAAGCGTAACTCCAAACGAGGAAGTTATGTTGAAAGTTTGACTATGTGCTAAGTTATTCGTTAAACTTTAGTAAAATGCTTTCGAAGTGGAGATGTCTCCTATGTCTTTTTGAAACATTAGCACTATGTCTTATGCGTTGAGAGAACTGACTGAACTTTGCAAAGACTTTGACAATCATGTGTTCCACAACAATCTTAGTAATCCTTCAAATTTCAGGGCGCTGAGTGTTCGAAGGAAGAGTACTACCAACCGAATGCTGACCAAAAGCATTATGCACACAAACAGAAAAACTTAGAAAGTGTTCGTTTCGCCAATGTAGTTGAAGAAAAAGAATGTGAAAGACAACACTGTGACAGTTCATCATCTTCAATGACATCATCGTCAGATGCTGATGCAGATTCTGATGACAGTTTGATTTTGCATACTACGGATGGTGGCTTTGGAGATAGAAGTGGGCCATCGTCACCTGAACCCGTTGAACTCACATCCATTCTGCGTCAACGAAAAGGAAGCGACTGCAAGCAGCATGTTCCAGAGATGAAGAGACAGCACACGTTGGAGAGAGCAACTTCATCCAGAATTGATAAATTAACCGAAGACAATGAGGATATTAGAAGAATCGTTGAAACAATAATCCGCATTCTGTCTTATGAGTTACGCTCTTCTTCTGTCCTTACACCGGACATTTGTCAGAGGTTTGTACTTTCTTCTGTTGAAAATAACTCTTTCTGATGAGTTTGTAAAGTCGTGTGAGGTTCGGCCATTCCTTTTTTCTGATTTTCCATCCAAAACATTCGAATTTAAACTCTTACGAGGTTTAAGGTAACAAAGAGACAAAAAGGAACAGTTGGTGAGCTCAAAGGAAAGTCTCAAAGTGAGAGATCAGATAATAGTCGAAGCAGATACCCAGCAGCCGTGTCCAAATTACAATATGAGTCAGTTGAGGGAAATATAAACGAGAATAGGGATGAGAGACAGCAAGGGTGGGAACAGAATAAAAAAAGGAATATGTAAACCAGTGTTGAGGTCGGTTAAGGATACGAAGAGCAACAGCTGCTGAAGATCACAGGTTGATGAGACTTTCCAGAAGGAGATGAGATGGGAGATCAAATCTCTTCTAGCAACTTATGCATCCCAAACCTTTGCAAAAACGAAGAACAGAAGAGAAAGAAGGGGAGAGTATGGATGAAAAAAATTTTTTTAGCTCAAAGTTTCAGTTTTTTATTCAATTTTTTCAGTCTGTTGGATTTGATCATAACGCTAGCATCTCAACATTTCCAAAGAGTTCCATTAGATCTTCTACAAGCACAGCTAGGATCTGTCGTGTCAGATACAGTAAATCCATACGTGGACTCGTCGATGATAGAGAATCGAAAGCAGTTTATGCGAGAGCTGTCTTCCATTTTGTTGAACGAATTATCATTTTTTCATGTGTTAGACTCTGTTAAAGCAGTCCCTGATAAGTGAAAACAGTTTTTCTTCATAAATAGTTCAAAGTAAGAAATTAGTATTTTTCTATGAAATGTTTCAACTTTCTACTGTTTTAACTTCTAATTAAGCGGAATGTATGGGCTGGCAAAGCTGGCTTACATGTATAGTCTTTCATGAGGATCGTAATATGTTCTTTGCTTGTCTGGAAAATCGAAATATATTGAAATTTAGATATTTGTGCAACTCGTAGGTTCTGATCCATCTCCAGGAAAACGTCTTCAATTCTCTCAAGCATTTTGGTCCTCATCACGTATCCTATATAGTGAGGATGATCTGTTATAATCATCCGTAAGCAGGAAACAGATCTCTCGACGATTCGAATATCTTTAGATTGCAGTAAATAAGGAAAAACAGTTATTATCCCTTAAATGATTTTTCTTCTTTAAACCTTGATTTTTGATTGAAGTTAAGAACCTGCTGCTATGAGGAAAGAGCTTCTCTCGCGGCTTGCTGCAGTTAGCATATTGGCGATAGTCCAAAGGCATTCCTGAATATAAGAATAAGACTGAAACACTGAAGTTTCATTCACTTTCTGCATTTTACTATCTGTGATCTCATCAGAAGCTCCTCTCATAATGTGTTTGAGGATTAGATTATCCTCAAACAAACTATCCACATGCTCAAAGTTACCAGCAGCAACGTTTGAACAAATCCATGCAGCTTCGCGGTTCAGATACTTTAACGGCGAGTCTAAGGCTTTCAGCTGAAAAGATGTTACGAATATTTCCTTCTCACTTATAAAATCTAACGATGGTCTCGTAAAAGAGAGGATGGCTTAGAACAGTCTCCGTTTGTCTGTCGTTTCCTGTAGCAATATTTCCGAGAATGCGAAGGCAACCATGCATATACGAGACATTATCCTGAAATCCGTTGTTACAGCTTTCGTGTGATAATTCTCTTACTTGATGAAACAGCGTGAAGATGTAATTGATAAGGTTTGGCTGATTAGTAACCACTTCGATCTGTATGAACGGTTATATCACAGAGCATAGGGATGAAACTACATGTCGTCCACTGTTCATATCATCAGCCAATGCCGCAATAGTCCAAAGACAATCTTTCGTAATGACGGTATTTTGCGGAAATAATTTTATTGTTTCGAAACATCCTCTAACCAGCTCCATGACAACCTTTGTTTGTTTATTATTTATTAGATTATATTATTATGTATAAATGAACTTACTACTAGTGAGAGATTAGGAATTCCACCTCTGATTATGTTCAATGAACACCATACGATGTTGCGAACAACTTGAGCATCTCTCCCGTATTCTTTAGACATTAGTATATCAGCTAACAGCTTCATTAAGAGTGTTAATTTGTTTCTTTTTGTAATATCAATCACATACCTCGAGTATTGGAATGGTACGACAATCAAGTTTGCACACCTGACAATCAGCAGCAATGTTACCTAAAGCCCATATTGCTTGCGCTCGCAATTGACTTGAACGAGGGCTGTTGAGCGCAACGTCGAATAATATTTTTATAGCATCCTGTAAACGTTTTTGGTTTTCGCTGCTTCTTTAACTAGCTTACATTCTCTACAATAACATGACATTGCTCATTAGAAATACAACTGATGTTCGTTATAATCCAGGCAGCATCCAACAGACGCATGTTGTCTTTCTCTTCCGTTTCGATAAAAGAGATTTGAGATTGCATGTATTTCAACAAGCTTTTGATCTAGTATTCTAAGTTTGATCATTATTCTTGGTTCTCACTAACCAGAATTTCATAATCAAGAAAAAATTCAAAGTTCTGTTCTTCACCAGAGAATATTTGTCGAAAGTAGAGAATGGCAGCTTCCTTCAAATCTTGAATTAGCTTGTGGGCTACAAGCGAACAAACCTTAGCGTCTTTAGACGTATTTCCTGTGAGTGTCATCAGGTTATTTTTGATTTCAACCGATACATCCAGTGTTTTCGTCTGTAACTCAAAAATAGAAGAAAGATAGCCATGGAGCTTAAGTTGAAATACTTCGTGAGTTGATTGCGGTCGGCTTGCCATTGCGAAAATTGATGCGACCGGTTAGGAAAAACTTTTGCAACAAAATGACTCGAAACTGCCGCGAGGACATTTAGGCTAAGGGTGTCACCAAGAGCTTCTTAGGTGGGTTGGTTTTACAATTTTAAAACTTTGTGAATTTTGTTAATTTATCTATGAATGAAAGCTTTCACTTCTTTCTTTCGAAAGCTTTTCTTGTTCTCAGTAGTAGCCTAAGTTTGTAGTTTGATCACGTAGTTCAGTCAATGGAATTGACCGTAACTGTCTTATATATTGATTACAAATCAGGAAATGAAAAATAATATTTATTGATAGATTTTCTATTTTCAATCAAGAATTGTTTTTCTCCCTAACACCTACTTTCACAGTTGTTTGATGTTTCTTTGGCTACGCTATGATCATCTCTTGTAAGAATCGTTTTGTGCATTTATGACTGATTCACAAATATATCAGAGACTTTGCATTCTATTCTGTTGTTTTCATCGTACCATAAGTGCTGACATTCGTTTTCATTTGATAGTCCTCGCTGCGGTTTTTTCATTCTTGTATTGTTCGATGATTTTATACGCTGATTGTTCTCAAGAAGTAGAGCGATCTCCCTTTATCATTAGCATGCATAGTTGTGAAGAAGTAACGTTGTCTGATTTTCTTCTGCAAATATTAAACTTCTTTCTTGAGCTAGGATACCCACATTTTGCTAAATATCTGCATTCAATTCATTCTTAGCGCCCACAACACCAACACTAACTAATCTGGTGATAACTGTAATCTTGAGTAATTCCGATTGAATTTTCTTTGAGATTGATATGTTTCTCGAATGATGTGATGTCTTTACGCTATTGAGAGAAATTATGTTCGAACGACTTGTGTTATTGAGATTGAGTGATACTTCTCGTTGTTTCGTTATCATTACTGTAGGACATCTTTCCGAGAAACTGCGAAAGGCCTCTTCAACAGCTTTTCTCAGTTAGTTAGGTTTTCTCATGTGTTTCTTCGAAATCATTTGAAATGAAGTCTTTGGAGGTTTGGCCATTGGCCCCACCTGTGCACCTTACCTGATGAGACATCCCGTTCATTTGATGGAGAAGTGCCCGAAGAGAGGATCTAGCTGATTTTGATTTGTTATGTTAGAAGATAAGAAATAGGACGGGAATGGAGAAGTGTGGGTGAGAAATGTGTGTGAGTAGTACCCTAACTCCTTGAGTTGGCAATGTTGTCATCTCGGGGAGTTCCTCCCAAGTGCGCTCTAATGCTAACTTGGGAGGAACTGAGGGATCTTTTTTTTGTTGTCTCACCTTTTATGGTATTTATAGGATATGTCTTTTTAAGGGTGTGGGGGCCAGTAGCTAAGAGGTTAGTGGATAGTCGGTACCGGAGCCCGACGGGTTCGGATCCCCCCCCCCTGCCAGAAAGCCGAGCGGTTATCCGGCCGATCCCGAAGATGAGCCGAAGGCGAATCAAGGGATTGGACGGATAACCGGAGGCTACCTTTTGGAAAAAATAGCTAAGTTGTTATGAAAAAAATGGGCATGACCTCTCCTATATATATGAGTATCAGAAGACCCC